AATAATCTCTTTAATTGTAGTCACTCCTATGGCTGACCGCAACTTCTCGAATCGTTCCTTAACCAAAGGCTTGGTTAGAATGTTCGCAATCTGGTCCTCTGGTCCAATGTACTGTAGTTGGAATTGTCCCTCTTCGTATTTCTCCCTTATGAAGTGGTGCCGTACGTCTATATGTTTTGTCCGCTTATGAAACTCCGGATTTTTCACTAAACGAATAGCACTCTGATTGTCTATAAATAGAACTGGTTGTTTGTCACCTGTTGTTGATAAGCTTGTTATCAACCGTGTAATCCACAAGATCCCTTTGACAGCTTCACTGGCCGAAATATATTCAGCCTCTGTCGATGACAATGACACACAATGTTGTCTCTGCGATGTCCATGAAATTATGCTTGACCCGTACCTGAATAGAAATCCTGACGTCGAACGTCGTGTCTGAATGTCACCTGCGTAATCTGCATCGCTAAATATTTCTAATGACAATTTTGTTTTGTTATTAAAGTACAAGCCATAATTAAATGTTCGCTTGATATACCGTATAATCCGTTTTACCAAGTTCCAATGAGCTTTAGTTGGTTTTGCTAAGTAACGACTAGCAAAGTTTAGTGCATATGCTATATCTGGTCTTGTTACCTGTGATAAGAACAGTAAGCTACCTACTGCCTGCCTATAAGGAATATCTTCATTCAATATTTCCGTATCTTCTTTTTGTTCAAGTGTATGTGATTTGTCTATTGGTATTGAAAGTTCCTTGGCGTCCAGCATATTGAATTTATTAATTATGCTACATGCATGATTTGTCTGATGCACAAATAATTAACCATTTTTCATTATATTTACCTGCATACCTAGGAAATAATCTAAGTTTCCTTTTTTTACCTCAAATTCTTTCTCCAAGTTTGTTAAAAGTTTATCTATTATTTCTTCATTGTCTGCAGCGATTAAGCCATCGTCTACAAATATTGCCAGAATAATTTTACTGTTACAAGCATTGAATACACATGCATCCGCTTCGGTACATTGTAAACCAAATGCATTCAAAAAGTTCTTAAAGTGTATATTCCAACATCTTGGACTTTGTTTTAAGCCATATAAACTACGCTGAAGCTTACATACTTTATTCGATCCATCTTCGTATCCTGGTGGTTGTACCATGTAAATTTCTTCCTGTAGTTCTCCGTACAGAAATGCTGTCTTGATGTCGAATTGTCGTAGTATTAATATTTCCACAGCTGCTACTGCGAATATCGCCCTAATTGATTCGTATCTGACCACTGGCGAAAATGTTTCATGGTAATCTATACCGTATTTCTGTGAACAACCTTTAATGACCAATCTGGCCTTAAACTTATCGATATTACCGTCACTTTTATATTTGGTTTTGAAAACCCATGCGTTACGTAACGCAACCTTGCCCTGAGGCAAATTAACTAGTGACCAAGTGTTGTTTTTGTGTAGTGATTTAATTTCATCACTCATAGCGTGCTCCCACTCGTTTTTCTGTGGGCCAGCTATCGCTTCATCACGATTTAGTGGTTCAACGAGATTGGCGACGAACGACGACACATTATACCTGATCGGCGCTTTTAATGTATTCCGATCACGTAGCACCATGCCACTCCTGTTGTCGACCGTCGTCAATTCAACCTTGACCGGATCGCCCTCGACTTGAGTCTGAGTATCTGTGAATTCTAATTTGTCTGAAATTATATTTTCCAATTTATTACCTTCGTTTTCGAATATAATATCTCTAGACATTGAAATTCTATTTGTTTTCGAATAATACACACGATAAAATTTCGTGTTATCCGAATAGCCAACAAATATTCCTTTTTCACTTTTAGGGTCCCACTTTTTACGTTTTTGCTTTGGTATGTGTGTATATACGACAGTACCAAAAACTCGTAAGTGTTTAATGTCTGGCATTACCTTGTAATATAACTCGTATGGTGAGTTATTTTTAACTGAACTGGTTCCTGTTCGCGTGTAAGCGTGTAAACAGCCGTGTTTACCGCCTCCGCCCAAAGTGATACATCCAAATTTTTCGCACAAATCATTGTCCTCGCTGACTCTACTATTGTACGATTTTCCCGTTCAACTTTTCCATTTTGCTGTGGTGTGTAGGGAACTGTTAACTGATGTCGAATCCCGTGTTTTTGTAAAATACCCGTAAATTCTTTATTTACGAATTCTAATCCATTATCCGTTCGTAATATTTTGACCTTACAACCTGTTTCTGTTTCAATACTTTTTCTGAACGTCTCAAAAATATTTTTAACATCATATTTATTTTTAATAAAATATACCGTTCTATAATGCGAGTAGTCGTCTTTGAATAACAAGAAGTATTTTGAACCGCCTATAGAGCTTACCTCCATTGGTTCACATAGGTCTGCATGAATTAAATCACCGACATTGTGATACTCCGTATTACTTTTACTAAATGATTTACGACTTTGTTTACCTATTATACAACTGCTGCACATGAATTCGTCGTCCTTGGCCGTACATACTATTTCGTGTTTCGCCAAACAACTTTTTACGTACTGTAAATTCTGATGTGCCATGCGCTCGTGCCAAACAGACAACCTGTTTTCGACAGCTACCGTCGCGTACCCGTTTGTCGGTACTTCGACCTTGATGTTTAACTCAAACAACCTTCCGCATCTCTTACCTGAGCATACGGGTTTCCCCTGTTTAGTTAACATACACGTCTTACTATCTGACGTCATTACTAATCCTTTATCCATCGCTGCACCGCACGAAAATAAATTAAATTTTAGTCCCGGCACGTGCAACACGTTTGAAATGTAATTTTTATTCCAATTACCGTTTACGTATGATAATATATTAATATTACCTCTACCTGCCACATACAGATTCGTCCCATCACCTATAGTGATTTGTTGCGTGTTGTCCAGTGGTTCATAACTTGAAAACCACTCTCGATTCGCGCTCATATGATCCGAAGCGCCCGAGTCTAGTACCCACGCATCTGTTGCAATATTATTTATTCTTGACTCGCTCACGAATGCGTTCAAGTTCGCACCTATAGTACCGGTTTTACCACCGTGTACACTATGTAGAAAATTTCTACAGTCTCTTTTATAATGACCTAGTTTACCACAGTAATAACACTTATTAGTAAATTGATTTTTACCTTTTCCATAATTACGGCTGCCGTCTCTTCCATCAGATCTGTTTTGAAATTTGGCCGGAAATGCACTCGATTTCTCTTGTTCACCAACTTCACCTTTGATCTGGATAACCCGTGATTCTTCAATCAACAATCGACTAGTCAAATTATTTATATTTTTACTTCCCGTTGGGACTGAATCCCAAGCACTGTAAAAATGATTATATTCTTTTGGTAATGTCATTAGAATTTTTGTCATAACCATGTTATCCGTAACTGGTTCACCCGCTACTCTCAGTTTCCTTCCTAAATTGACCAATTTAGAAATATGCGTCGACATGTCATCTGTCGACTCCTTTGAATAACTGAAAAATTGTTGTTGAAGCAAATGTAAACTTGCCTCAGACTTCTGCTCGTAAATACCCAGCAGTTTCTCCCACATTTCCAATGCAGTCCCACAGTTAATCAAATATTGTAATGGACCATCGTCCACTGAGGTAACTATTATTTTCTGACATTTACCGTCCGCTTTTTGCCAAGCGCTAGTATATGCCTTTGCCAACGTGCTTTGGCTTCCTCGTCGGTCTCTCCTGCCGACTTTTTTTATAGGCAGACTTGGTTTCATCCATTCACCTGAAACTATCTCACCTACTTCCAAGGCATTTAGAATGACCTTCATCTGGAACTTCCATAACGACCAGTTTTCCGCACATAATTTTGTTATCTTCACCGTGTCTTCCATGACCGATGGTTTCCCGTATACTTTCCTGTATAACAATTTATAACAAAACTTTACCTATGTACACTGTTCCGCCGTTTTCCGAAATCCAGGATATCTCCGACTGGTTGTAGTTTTCTGCGTTAATACAAATATAAAAATACTTCGATCACGAATCCACTAGACTGTTTGTCTTGGTTATTGACTGGGCCCATAACCTGTTGAAAGTGAAGCTTGACGGACTAATGATGTTAGCATTAATATAATAAGTAATAACACGACAATATGATTATGTATAAGTATAATATATAATAACGTACAACTGGACAATTAAACTGTGACAGTACACACACATCGTATACGCTCTGTACAACGACGCCTGTGCAAGTGAGTATTACATACATCAAAGGCCCTATTTATATGCACGACCTAGGTCATGTTACATCCGTAAAGAGAGTGAGTCTTATGCTCGTACATAACTAGTTACTATATTGTACACACGTGTCAAGGCTGACTACATATACTACATATTAATTGTATATTTCAACAATTTCTACTTAATTGTAGTACCCGAAATTCAATAATTGTGTGTTATGAGTATAAGATCATATATGTTATATTAAGTACCTATCCTAGCTACAACTAGTTTGCGCGCATTTTAAAATTTCCCTGCTTAAACCTGCTTAAACCTGTAACTCGTTTGCGCACAATATATTGTAGAAGGAACCATCGAACCTCGATTGCGCACATACTTTGTACATAATATTATTATATTCGTTAATATTATATTGGTTTTTAGACGCAGATTATGGTCTGTAATCTAACCACTTGATTCTGCACAACATATTATATACAATAATATGGTATAGCCAGTGGCGTACCCAGGATTTTCAAATGGGGGGGGCTAAACAAAGTAAATTCAAATTTGACATCATCTCAACAAACAATTTTCAATAAAGTCTTATAACAGTTAATTGTAATATTTCATTATAATATAATTCTTATAACACATACATAATATATTAGTGATATATTTAATTAGTAGGAACTAGGAAGTAGGGACTGATTTATTATACAAAATATGTTATATGATAAATTATTTTATTTTATATAGGTAACTTCAAAATACATATTTTATTTTTTACATTATTTGCTCCAGTCTTCTAATTGCATCCTTCTGGGTGCCTTTGTGGAAAATAATTTAATTATTTCATCCTCACAGAGTAGTTCTTTTTTGTTAATATTTGTTAATGCCAATCCATTGAGTCGTTCTTCCGACATGGTTGAACGTAGATATGTTTTTAATCGTTTTAGAGTTGAAAATGTACGTTCAGGCGTCGCCGAGGTGACTGGCAATGTCGCAAACAATTGTAAAAGTATTTTTATATTTGGTACGGCAGTTGTGCAATGGGGTAATGTATCAATAGCTGAATCTGTTTTAATTTGCTTATTTTTCCATTGGTGTCTCCAAATGCGCAACTCTGCTTTAAGAATAGAATTATCATCGGTTGAAAGATCTTGAGCATAGATAGAAGCCGCTTTCAAAATAGTTTCATCATCGTACATACCAAAATTTGAAGGAATAAGTCCCTGTAAAGGTATTATATCACTAAGTCGTTGATTAAATCGTGCATCCAATTCTTGAAGGATGAAATCAAGAAAAGGAAGAAACACTGATACTTTGAAGTATGTCTCTGGATCTTTTGAATTTACATTTATTCTTTGTGTTTGCCTACCACATATCCGTGGCATGCATATTTCTACATTTGCTAAATTTGCAATATCAGAAACATCCTTAAAAATTTGTTTAAAGTGTCCATCTGCACCTTCTCGAAGCTCTTCTAGTGCACTGCGAATAACCATTACGTCGGATAATGCTTTAGAAATGTCTTGTTGTTTGCTCTGAAGAGAAATACTGAGTTGTAAAGTGTAGGCAAAACAAGTTACTGTAACTTCAAGTGCAACGAGAAAATCAATTTTTGTCACTGAATTTAAATATAATGCTGCTTTGCATGAGCTTTCAGGATTAGGATCATGTGAAATATCTTCAAGAGCATGCACTACATAAACATACAATTGTTTAAATGTAATCAATGCGTCATGACGCTCAATCCAACGTGTCTCGCACAGTGTTTTCAATTTTTCTTTTTTTTGTGAATTATTGCTATCGCTTAAAATAACTGATTTCAATTTATCAGATCTCTTAGCTGAAGCAGAAAAAAAAGCAGCAATACTTGATACAATTCCCATCATATTTTTGATCGGGGAAACATTACAGGCCTTGGATAAGCAAAGGTTCAAAGAGTGGCTAAAACAATGCGTATAGAATGCTAGTGGTTGCTCATTTAAAATCAGACTTTGGACAGCATTATGTTTACCAGACATGTTTGCTCCTCCATCATAACCTTGTCCTCTAAGATTATCTATGCTAAGACCAACTTCTTTAAGTTTTATTAATATTGCATCTTTTATTGCTAAACCAGTAGTTGAAGTCATTTTTACAAATCCCAGAAAATCTTCTCTAAGTATCCAAGATGACGTATCTACATATCGTATACATACTGTCATCTGTTCAGTAGTGCTAATGTCAGTAGTTTCATCACATAGTAATGAAAAAAATCGAAATTGTTTGACTCGTTCAACTATTTTCCCTACAATTACATCACCAATCACATCAATTATCTCATTCTGGACTTTGGGACTGATCATTGTGCAGTTTTTAGGGGAAGTTTCAAAGTGTCTTTGAAGTTCTGTATCACCACTGTCTACCCGAAAAGCCAGAAGTGCACGAAGAACACCTTGTTCACCAACTATACAAGAACTTCTCACACTTTCTAATGATAAAGAACCAGTTTCTCGATGACCACGCAATGGTAAATTATTTCTAGCACAGAATAATATTGTCTTAACAATTGGTATCAGCCTTTTTTTGTTGCTCTCAATCGTTTGTTGTAGATGTTTATCAAAGAGTACATCAACTGTTTTTTCAAACCCACTTTCAAAATTGATTAGGAAGTCGTTTGCTCTTTGAACAGAAAGAAGATGATATTCTGTTTTTGAATGTTTGTTGAAGTCATTCTTAGCATCTTTAAACTTTAACATAGGTGCAGTTACTAATTTTCCCAAATTCTAAAATTATGTATTAAGTTTTAATTAATATGTTGTATTTTAAAAAGTAAACTAAAAATCATTAGGCACCTATATAGGTTTAATAAATAAGCATAAATTTACCTGTCTGCCTATTCCACCACCAGAAAAAGCAAACAAAACGCAAAATTTACAATAGGCTCCTTTATGTATATCACTATAAGCAAGCCAAGAATATTGTGTCAAATACTTATGCTGAAATTTTCTTTTTTGTTTGCCTTCTATGTTCTCTGGAAAATTAAAATCTAATGGAGGTATCCAAATGTGTTTTAAACAATCAACAATTTCAGACTTTTTCAGCGTTCGGTTCATTATGAAGCAAGCAATATCATTCTTGTAAATTTCATTTTCAGTCATAGCAGGCATTGATAAGGACTAAGAATACAAATATACAATGTCTATGATTTAAAACTTACAAAGACAGCAAAGCAAATAATAGTTAATTTTAATTTTATCAATAATTATATCTAATAAAAATTTGCACCTAATGAATTGTACTTAGTAATGCAACGATAAGCATTATATAACTATTATAAATTACAATGCTCTATTATTCTATAATTATTAGATAATTTAAAATGACTTACTGAACTTTTCAGGGTCTCATTTTTTAATAAATTAGGATTGTCAACTTCTATACTATCGGGCAAAAGGCTGTCCTTTTTTATTTCAATATTACTACAACCATCCTAAAAAAAAATATAATTATACTAATCTATATTTTGCTACCTACCACATACAAATTTATTTTTTATTATAATATTTACTTACGACAGACTCAACTTTGCTTTTCTTAAAATTGAATACAGAAAACACGTTAGGTCTTTTCTCAGACATTATTCACAAAAAAACTGTACAGGAAATATAAAAAGTAGTAGCAATAGTATTTAGTAAAGACTAAGGAGTAAGGATTGAAGATTGTGATACTCAACACTATCACTGCGATAGTGTTGTTGGTCGCGCATCACGTGCGTCATGCCGTACCATAGACGTATAATATAACCATAGACGTATTATATTATACGTCTATGTGCCGTACACCGTACACCACAGATAACAGTCGTTGTCGTATCTTAATGTTTGTTACTTACTACGTTCATACCGTTCATACGGCCAATGGGGGGGGCTGAAGCCCTCTAAGCCCCCCCCCCTGGGTACGCCACTGGGTATAGCGAAGATTATATTTTGTACATAATATTATTATATACGTTAATATTATATTGGTTTTTAGAAGCAGATAATGGTCTGTAATCGGAAATATTACTCGATAAACTTTATCAGTATTTATGACCCATCAATAAACTGGTACTATCGTTTTGAAATCGCAAACACAAGTTTTTTTAGTTTTAGTTTCGACAATTATCTCGTAGAGCACTTACAGAAATATGGATTACGAAATAACAAATATATACTATACGCGTTGCGGGAAAATGTGTGTTTCTATTAACAATTTTAAGTTTTCGAAGTACAGAAAATTAAAATGTGGGAATTTTTCATTTCGATATACCAATAAAAAATGTAAGGCAATTGCTACATTAAATACTCAGTGTTCAAGTATTATTAATCATAAAAACGAAAATCGCTTCCAAGGTAAACCTTTGAAATAAGTAGGTACCTAATTAAAATAAACATAAATAGATGACCGCTACAATAAAAATTAGTTATACATATTTTTTTAACACATAGCACACCAAAAATACATTTTTAACCACACCAGTGAAATTAAAATATTCACTGATAGTCCTAAGTCTGTAAAAGTGGGAAGGAAAATGTGTGCGCAAACCAGTGGTTACACTAGAAATAATCTGTGCCCAAACGAGTTGTAAAAATGTGCGCAAATGAGTTTTAATTTTAGTAAATGTGCGCAAACCATGTGCACCCCCTATTCTACGGATTCCATTTGTTTAAAAATTAATTAAAAATTGAATAATGGTTCGATCAACTCAAATCCTACACCATTAGATTACACACGTCCGCAGCTACCATCCCTGAAAGTTTCGTGTAAAAAACCCAAAACCCTGGAGAGGAATTTGACACGGTACGCAGCGGCAACCAGTACAAAGTACAGGTACCGCACATAGATAATATAAGAATGGATAGGACATGCCTATACTAGTTCCATATGAGGCCGTGTGCTTTTTTGGGGAAGAGAGAACGTAAAGAGAGAAAGACGATATGAGGCTTTTTAAGGTTATGTGCAAAACTATTTTATTAAATAATAATAATAATAACATGATAGTCAGTTATATTTAGATATTTGTCAGTTTGTATTTTGATTGTTGTGCCACCTGTGCCTGGAAAATGGAAATTGGAAAATAATATTTTAACAAAATGAAATTATATAAATTTTATTTATTATTATTTATCAATTATCATATCAATATTTGCCTTATATCACCTTAAAAATAGTATCACTAAATTTTCATGTGATTAGTTCTTATGTCCTATCCATTCTCATATTATTTATGGTACCGCCGCGGCCGGTCTACGCTTCTGTCAACCGCCACCACGGGCTACAGCGCGACATCGCCAACTCTCCCACCACGCCACAAAGGCACAAGGCGGGACGGGAAGGCAAGTCAGTGTTGCCAGGTTTGGGGAAAAATTTGGAGAAATCTGGGGAAATTCGGAGTACCTGGGGATTTGGGGCGAAGCTTTTATAAATCTCGATAAAATGGGGATAAATTTGAAATTTAATAAACAGAATTTATCTTACCTACTTTAAATGATTTAAATCTTGAATTCCAGTCTGAACTTCCTAAAATATATCTTCTATATGATCGTATGGCAAATGCTTATAAATTTATTCTCCAATGCTATATAAAATCAAGTGAATTAAATAATACTGACATTTCGCTATTACAGTACCGTAACCCTTGCAATTTCTTACCAGATGACCAAATATATTTAGGACCAAAAGTAGTTATAGCCATTTCACAAAATATTTTTAATTCTTCAGATAAAAAGCAGTTTGTAAAGTGTTGTCTTGATTTTTATTTGGAATGTGCCCACCAACTTTATCTTCGTTTTCCATTTAAAAGTAAATATGTTCTTGGATTAAAACATTTATCTTTTTTAGACCCTAAAAAAATATCTAATGCACAATCATTAGGAATTGTTGCTTCTTATTTTTCAAACTTTGTTGAGAATGTCAATGAATTAGACAGAGAATGGCGCCTACTGATCTCAAGTGATATAGACATTAATTTGAGTGCAAATGAATTTTGGGTCAAATATCTTAACAAGTTAAGGGTGATAACACTCCACTTTATCCACAGCTATCTAATTTTGTCACAAATTTGTTAACTCTTGCACACATTAGTGCTTGCGTGGAACGAGTATTTAGTGCAATATATAATAATAAGACAAAAACAAGAAATAGGTTATCCTCTGAAAAATTACAGAGTATACTACATACAAAACAATTAATTTCTGATCAAAATAAAAATTGCTATGACTTTAATGTTACAGACGAACTATTAAAGTTACATTCTAACAATATGTATTCCTAGGTATTTATTTGTATGCATAGGCACATGTTATAAATATACAGCATTAATTAATTACAAGTTTTTATATAAGTAGATATTATCAACTTTATTAGTTGTTAATTATAAATTGTTATTTGTTAATATAAAAGTAATTATCTTCTTTTATATTTTAGAATTATACATAATTAATGTGAACAAAAAGAACTGACATTTATTTTTATGATATGATTTCATTTATATTCTTTGTTTTATGATTATTGAACTCTTACTTGATAAATTGTTTTTATATATTAAGATTTATTTGTTAGTAAAAAAGTTAATGCTTTTATATATTTTATCATTTTACAAAAGTCAAAATGTAAACAAAAAGGACTGACATTAGTTTGTAAATTTGCACATGGTATCATTTATATTGTTTGTTACTCGAGTGTTGCTAGTTTTTATAAATTTATATTTGTTAATATAAAAGTAATTATTTTATATTTTAGAATCATGTGATCAAAAAGGACTGACATTTATTTTTTTGGTATGATTTCATTTATATTGTTCGTTTTATAAGTACTCAACTATTACTTAAATAAATTGTGCTTTATTTATTTTATATTTATTTGTTGGAATAAAAGTTTATGCTGTTATAACTTAACAAAATGTGTGAAAAAAGGACTAATTTTTTGTTATATTTATTTTAAAATTAATTATTATGTATTATAATAATTGTTATTGTGTCTAATTAACCTCTAAAATCCCAAATCTAAACTAAGTATCTCCCATAATTAAGCCAAGGACAAAATTGTTAACTTAAATAATATATATATATGATAAAATAATATATCGTTTAATTTATATATATAATTAATAATTTCTTAGGTTCTAATATTATTTAAAACCAGGTTACAATATGTTATCACAATTTGTTTTACTGTTATCTATTTATGTTAACAGATTCTTACACAATTTCATAAATGATTATTTATGTACAGTCACACTATTGGAGGTAAGAAGTTTGGTGAGTAGGATATTAGGTAATATAGCAATAATGATGTTATTTAACTAAAAATGTTTGCTGAAAATTTTTTTGAGGATTTTAATTAAAAATCTGGGGATAAAAATAAGATTGTTGGAGATTTAGGAAACTTTTATCACGAATTTTTGGGTAATTTACAATTTTTTACCTGGCAACACTGCAAGTCGCGCAAGACGTGTACCGGCCGCCGGCAGCTCGTTCTCTCGACCACCAACGGTTAAACACTACGCACGTCCAGTAACTCGTCATCTCTTTTTTGTTTATCGATATCGTTGTATTAATTTGTGTCTCCGTGATATTGGTATTACGTCACCAGCGGACATTAGCATCCATTTAAGACGTGTTGTTTCTTTTATATATTACGTTTGTGAATATCCTATATATTAATACATATTAATTGCATATTTCAACACCCTCCCTCAATTAATAATCTCTATAATTCTACAATTACCGCAACTTCTCGAATCGTTCCTTAACCAAAGACTTGGTTAGAATGTCTGCAATCTGGTCCTCTGTTCCAATGTACTGTAGTTGGAATTGTCCTTCTTCGTACACGGAAAAAAATATTTGGTAATTGTAGTCAGAATATGACTCCCGCAACCATGTTTTTTGTTTGCTTTCGTGACGGCCAAATGTTCGGTAGGAGTTACGTTTAAATTATTGTTGACTGAGTATTGTAATGACAACAAAATTTTCTGTTGTAGGTACATTATGAGCTTGGTTATTTTCTACCAATATAATTGTTCCTTAAACAGTTAGTTTTGTTGTGTATACCGTATACATTTGTATTCATAACACATTAATTCATTAGGTCTAATTTCTGTTTTGTACTTTTAAGTATACAGTTTGGTAAAGGCTTCTACGACAATGCTTGGTGAATTTTACATAATATGATGTTATAATCATAAGCATCAATGTATGTGTAACATAAAAATGCGTGTAACATTTACTGATTATTATGTAACAGTTCCATATTTATTCAGTTAAGAGTACAATTTTAGATTGTTATTAAACCAAAATTTATAATAAATTAACTTTTAAAAATATTAATTATTATTATTAATAATAAATAAATTAAAATATGTTAACTCTCTACACCTGGAGACTGGGATTAAGGAATTAAAGAATGAAAAAATAAATTGGTTCAAATATATAATGTATCAGTTTATTTCAAATAAAAATACTCAGAATTTGATACAAATGCTTAACACATTAAAGTTATATTATATTATATGGATTAGGTAGGTAGTATATGTTTAGAAATGTATTATGTAATTATTACCTTCAAATACTACATAAATAAATTCATTACAAAACAATCAACATAATGAATAACAATGCCAATTTTTATTTATATATATATATATATTAAAAAATATAAATGTAAAATTAATCTGTATAGTAATAAATATAAAATATGTAATATAATAGTAAGCTCCAATGGTCAGAGCAGTCAGAATTGACTAAAAAAAATAACAAAAATTTATAATATTAATTACAATTTAAACTCTAACTGTTATATAGTTTTTTCCATTTGACATGGTACATATATGATTTGGTATATGTGAAGCCAGCATATTATGCTTAACAAATATGCGTTCATTTATCATTTTTTCTACCTCAAAACAATGATAGTGTTCATCAAACATAATAGTATTAAATTTAAAACACTGAAATATTATTAAGTTATCGTAAACATATATTTTATCAATTATACCAAATTTAGGAAAATCATGTTCAACTATATCTAGAGTAAGAATCATTTTAAGCTGATACCGAGTACCTTTAACTGAAACCCATGGACACCTTGTTAATACGTTTAGAGTCAATATTCAAAAACAATCGTAGAAGTTGTGTATCGATATCACTTATTACTTTATTACAAGGGCCTAATTCTATTTCATTGGATAAAGTTCCTTTATTAAATAAGTCATTCAACTGAAGCTGATGTTTTATAGCAAGTGTCTTGCATATATTTCGCCGATTACTGGATGTGTTAGCAGATATTTTAGATATTCTGTGTTTGGCCTCAAAACGCATAGACCACATAGATATTAAGGGACCAAACTTTTTGATCATAGTATGATAATGTACCATGTAATGGTATTTAGGTTTTAAATCAAATTTGCTATACTTCATATACAAATCATGGTGCTCAGCCACGAGTGTTTGTAATAATTCACTACATTCTATTTGTAATACCGGAGATGTTAACAAGTCCAAAATGTGTCTCAATAAAATATAAAGTTCCCAAACACAGTCATTTTTGGGAATAAAATCTCCAATGATTAAACTGAAATAACGAGTAAGTGACATCATTTCTGACGCTGAAAGTCTTATGGTGTTTTTTTGAATATGTTCAATATGCAATACAGAGGGTTTGTTCCCCTTATCAGGGCCATAATTAAAACAAACCAACCTTTCATTAAAAGTTTGTAAAGAGAATAATTGTAAGTGTTTTATATAGTATAATAACAAAAATGATATATCATATTTACAGACCCCTTCTAGCAAGTCATGCATTATGTCAACACCAACCTGATTCAACACATTAAATCCATGTACATCATGCCACACACATGCCTCTTTAATACCACTATTAGAAACATTGTTTTCAACAACATCAAGATGATATTGTTGTAAATCTCTTGACAAACTTGTGTTAGCGTAACATTGTTATGTAATTTCAAATTTGTTTGATCTACGATATCTTGATAGTTAGAAAAGAAACTCTCCACAAACCAGGTTATACTGTGTATTCCTAAATTGTCTCCTATAATAAGACCTTGACGCGGTCCCGCGCAAAATCTGTTTGAATTCAAACGACCCAGCGCACAATACCGGTAGTACCTCGAAAAAAAAAAACAATTAATTTTTACCGACGGTCTTCTCCGGATAAATTTGGGCGAACATACACCCGTAGTCATCCCAAAAACCAACACGCAGAACGTGATCTGGACTTACCACGATCACGTACTCGCAAACCACCCGGGCTGGAAAGAAACGTACAGGGCGGTCAAACAACGTTTTTTTTGGAAAGGACAAAAAAACGACATCCGACTGTACGTCAAGTCGTGTCACATATGCACGTGTACCAAACCACTAAATACGCGCGCAGACGGCCCCGCGACCACTAGAATACCCCGACACCCCTAGGAGGTGGTAAGCATAGACCTCATGGGCCCCTACCCGCGCACGAGTAGGGGAAAACAATATATACTGGTCGCCACGGATTTGTTTAGTAGGTGGACCGAGGCATACCCCCTCGGAACAGCCACTACAAAAACAATAACCGAAACGCTCGAACGAGAATTCTTTTCAAGTTTCGGATACCCCCGTGTGTGCTTAAGCGACAACGACCCACAGTTCGTAGCAAACGATATGCGTAAAGCGATCGAACAGTGGGGAGCCGAGGGCTGGACAACTCCGGTATATCACCCGAGGGCCAACCCAGTCGAACGCCGTAACCAGGAAAAGGTCTACGCGCGCTACTCGCCAATGGCAACCACAACACCTGGGACACCAAATTAGCCCACAAATAACCCACTTTTTCGATCAGGAACAGGCGCTACGACCGGACAGGTTACCCACCATCGGTACTCCTCCTCGGGAGACAGGGCAAAAGACCGGGGGACTGGATACTGTCGCGGACAGCGGACAACCCGATCGAACAAATAAATATGGACAGAGCTAGGCGCGAAAACAATGTACTCACCGCACCACCGGCAACAGGTGGCCCGACGGACACAAAGTACAAAACAGGTGACACGGTGTACTATAAGGCTCACCACCTGTCAAGCGCGCACAAAAAGTTTCACGCCGGCTTCGCACCGAAATGGTGGGGACCGGTGAAACTACACAAACGCGTAGGCAAAGGCGTGTTCATCACAGACCATCAGCCAGCACGCAAAATATACGTGTCCTGCCTCAAACGGGCGACCACAGCAAAGCCCCAACAACCCCCCCCCCCCAAACCATAAACCCTCAATAGTGTTTTTATGTACTTAATTTCAGTCGGCACAGCACCACACCCAACTATGGAGCGGCAAAATCCGCCAACAGCCACCTCACTCCAACAAGCGGCTGAACTGCTGGAGCGCAGCCAACAGATGCTGAGGGCGGTCACCCTCGAGGAGGGCACAACCATCACCACGGCGGCCAGAGTTTGACGGATGACCACGGCGCAACTACAGCGAGACCCGGTACTGTGGGCAAGTCACACCAGTGCGCCGTTTTGTTGTTTTTCTTTTTTTTTTTCGTTATTTTGATTTTATACCGACAGGTTCTCCGTTGGTTACCACCACCGCATCACTCCACGCGGCACTACATAAGTCCGCATCAACCTAAATCAAATTTAATATTCCCTTTGAAGTTCACCATATCAAAATCAATTCCTGTAGTCCGCAAAAAATTAATTCATCTATAAGAGGTCTAAAGATAATGCTGTTACCAAATTTCTCTCTATCTGAAGAGTGAAATAGTAGTGCTAAGAAAATAGTACTAAGAGAAGACTGACGATGAGGTAGTAAACAAGGGATTGATAAATAGATAGCCCCCAGTTTGTGAATCCCAGAATGGCTCCCTAAAGGGTTTCCGATATCATAATCATCAAAAAACAGAAAAATAGGTATAACTATTTGGGACTCATAATTTTTTAGTTTTTCTTGCCATACGGTTCCTTGAGTAAAATTCATTAAAACTGAATTATAATGTCGACATTCATTAATGTATTCCAAAGTATCAGTAAAACATTTTTAAGTTTAAAAAATTTTGTAAGACATGTCTCATTGGAATAAATTGTTGAGTGCAATTTATTGAGGTGCATTTCCCTGGCACCCCCACTTCCGAATTTTGGATTCAAACCAAGGGCTATCGTTTGTGCTACGTTTGTGCTGGATTGTGCTCGAATTTCATCGTTTGTGCTGCAACCCTTAAAGAGTTATAATGGATAATGATTGGGGGTGCCAGCGAAACGACTGCACCCCCACCTCAGAATTTCGGATTCAAACCAAGGGCTATCGTTTGTGCTACGTTTGTGCTGGATTGTGCTCGAATTTCATCGTTTGTGCTGCAACCCTTAAAGAGTTATAATGGATAATGATTGGGGGTGCCAGCGAAACGACTGCACCCCCACCTCACAATTTTAAAATTTAAATTTCACCATTCGTTTGTGCTGGTTTGTGCTCGAGTTTCATCGTTTGTGCTGCAAACCCTAATGAGCTAGAACGGATATTTAGTGGGGGTGCCAGCGAAATGGCTGCACCCCCACCTCCAAATTTTCAAATTTAAATTATGCCATTCGTTTGTGCTACGTTTGTGCTCGAGTTTCATCGTTTGTGCTGCAACCCCTAATTAACTACAGGGGATCATTAGTGGGAGGGGGTGGTATGGAGCCATAATGTAGCCCCGATTCAAAATATTGGATCTCCAAATGAGCCAATCTTTAGTAGTTTGCTACTGATATCCTGTACCACTTTTTCGACGTCAGTACTCTACTACTTCCGGAGTTATCCTTATAAATTTAATTAGGGGGTTGTAAAGACGTGCCGGCACCCCCCATATTGAATTGTTTGGTCCAAATCAGTCTCATTGGTTTTGACTAAGTAAGTGCTTATTTGTACTATTTGTCCCATCGTTATTATTATTTACTAGTAAAAAAAGTTAGGTATAAGCCTTCCTTACGAGGGGATGCAGGCTATATACCTGGTATCCAGGTCTGAAGCTATCTATGTATTTTTATTTTACCCTGATACCTGAGTTATAACTTACAAAAATTGTAATACAAGTTACAACTCACAATTCATTGTTTTTTAATATTATTGGATTTTTAATCATCATCAATGTATTCTAACTTTGTATTAACTTAATACTGTCTGTTGAATAATTTGGCTGGATTACCTACTTAATAGTATAATAAATATTTATTTAAAATTTTTTTTATTTTTTTTGATACAGTTTCTGGCGATAAAAATTATAAAAAAATAATCATTGTATGTATACATAATATAGGCTGCCTATATTATTCACAAAAAGTTTACATGGGTGACTATAAGGTACCTATATATCATTATGTAGATAGTTGTAGACACTATACAATATAGGTACTTACTGGCTATCAATTCTCATACGATTTTACTTCATTAACCATATCCACACTAACTTATTTCCTATTCGTCCAATCTGGCCTAATAAGTTAAAAAATCTACATAAAACATAATAATTTAGGTAGGTAGTAGGTGCCTCATTTTCCTAAAACCCATATGTAAATTTATGAGATTTTTACTCAATATAATACTTAACCATAGATAAACGAAAATACAATAATAAAAAAAAAAACGTGAACAACAAGCTTGTATTCAAATTGTTCACACTTTAAAAACGACTTGGTGCTAAAAAATCAAACACACTAACAGCACGGACCTAAGGGTAAAACATTAAATAACTAAATACGAAAAAAAAGTTCAAAATAATTATTACTCAAAACGTTAATTGGACGTATAACATAAGGAAACGTATGAGTATACGAAAAATCACTTAATGCGTTTTTCAACTTTTTTCTACCCTGATTACGGGCGAAATAATGGTCCGTACGCACTTCGACCATAAACCCTTTTTGAAACGTCATATGCCATAATATCGGAATCTCGAGTTTTGTAATTGATCAAACGAAAACTCAAAATCCAAAAAACACGTAAGTACGTAATTTTTCAAGTACAATAGATATACGAAAAATCCTAACTCTCGAACTAAAAGTCGGATAACCTTGATCTGGGTACCCATGGATCCGGGGAAAAGACTTCTATAACGTTGACTACTAAAACTGCTCGCCGCACCCAAAATCTAAGTGCCCGTGCCAAAAAATCTGAAAAATCGGCTATTTAGAACTTTCGACGCCCTAAATACGGGGAAAAAACGGCTCCTACGGGCACGATACAAGTTACCGAATTTGATCATCGACTTCTAATCTACCCAAATCTTGAGTTTCAGAAACTTGTTACGAAAACTAAACGTTTTCCAAAATACACAAGGGGAGGATTCGAGGACCCCCCCCCCCGACTCTGGGAGTACATTTTAGAGGGGCCTAAACCGAAACGTTTGGTGAAGAAACAGTCCCCTTAAGTTGAACCTGGCCGAGAATTACTTAGCTCAAAAAATTATATTAAAAATAATATTAAATTGTCGTGAGCCAAAACAAAATGCTTCTAATGTGAGACAACTGTATGGGTTGAAAAATGAAACTAAAAACGCTTCCCCTGTCTCAAGTATATTCACATTTTATTACGATTATGTGGATTTTAAAATCAAACTCCTACAGTTAAGTTATTGGAACCACAAAACTACGAGAAATAATTAATGGACACTCATGGCCTATGGGCTATGGATCATTTTTACCTTTCGGCCACAAGCAATTTCCGATAAAACTGTAGGGGCTGTCCTCGTTTTAGGCATTACAAAGCCTGCATCCCCTCGTAAGGATGGCTTATAATTTTTTTATGAGCAAAGAAATAATAACGATGGGACAAAGAGTACAAATAAGCACTAACTTAATCTAAACCAATCTTTAACCAAGTGTTTTACTACATTTTAAGGTTTATTTTGATTTTTGTTTTGTTTAATCAAGCGTATTACCTACGTATTCCCTTGGTTAACTTTTTTAAAAATGTTTTCGTTTTGGTTTTTGATTTAACAGTTATTGAGACGAATTTTTTCAGTAAAAGTGAAAATGATCCATATACGCCATTTAGTTATTTCTAATAGTTTTGCAAGATAAAAACGTATATTTGAGAATTTTGATTTTCACAATAATTACGATCACGTAAATTTTATAATCAAACTCATGCAAGTAAGTTACTTGAACCTAAAAACTACGAGACACCTATATGGACACCTTTTGATTACTTTTACCAACCAACCTCAAGCAATTTCCGATAAAACTCTGTGGGCTGTAGTCCACCTGCCCTCGTTTTAGGATTCCAGATCATCCCCTTGTAAGAAAGGCCTATACCTAACTTTTTTTACTAGTAAATAATAATAACGATGGGACAAAGAGTACAAATAAGCACGTACTTAGTCAAAACCAATGGGACTGATTTGGACCAAACAATTCAATATGGGGGGTGCCGGCACGTCTTTACAACCCCCTAATTAAATTTATAAGGATAACTCCGGAAGTAGTAGAGTACTGACGTCGAAAAAGTGGTACAGGATATCAGTAGCAAACTACTAAAGATTGGCTCATTTGGAGATCCAATATTTTGAATCGGGGCTACATTATGGCTCCATACCACCCCCTCCCACTAATGATCCCCTGTAGTTAATTAGGGGTTGCAGCACAAACGATGAAACTCGAGCACAAACGAATGGCATAATTTAAATTTGAAAATTTGGAGGTGGGGGTGCAGCCATTTCGCTGGCACCCCCACTAAATATCCGTTCTAGCTCATTAGGGTTTGCAGCACAAACGATGAAACTCGAGCACAAACCAGCACAAACGAATGGTGAAATTTAAATTTTAAAATTGTGAGGGGGGGGTGCAGTCGTTTCGCTGGCACCCCCAATCATTATCCATTATAACTCTTTAAGGGTTGCAGCACAAACGATGAAATTCGAGCACAATCCAGCACAAACGTAGCACAAACGATAGCCCTTGGTTTGAATCCGAAATTCTGAGGTGGGGGTGCAGTCGTTTCGCTGGCACCCCCAATCATTATCCATTATAACTCTTTAAGGGTTGCAGCACAAACGATGAAATTCGAGCACAATCCAGCACAAACGTAGCACAAACGAAAGCCCTTGGTTTGAATCCAAAATTCGGAAGTGGGGGTGCCAGGGAAATGCACCTAATTTATTGGAACTAAATTAAAATCATTAAGCTGTTGATTCTGATTCAATCGTTCCCCTACAATATATTCTTGTGGGGGTACATAAGTTCCTAGTTGGGTATAGTATTTAATTCGTTTATACTCAGTATTGAGATCAGTAAAAGGGTGTTCTATGATATCCAAAATTGAGTTAAAATGATTGAAACATTCAATTGAAATATTACCATCAGAAAGTAATTTGGAAACTCTTCTCTGTAAGATATGATGTATATTGTCAAAAATAGGTGTAATGTCATTTACAACAGTTCGAACAACATTTCTAGGTATTTGAGAGTTTGAATATAACGATGCTAAAAATTTACTTACATAGTTCTCTTCCAATAAACAATCATTTGACCCTGTGTCTATTATAGAGGATGTTAGCGGTGTTGGTATATCCATTTTGTTTGATGTACATGCATTATTACTACTGTCTGGTGATAAGCTACTTTGGTTAACAGAATCTATATTGGGAGGTGTCAATAATAAAAGAGGCTCATTTATTATATGTGTAGGTAGCAAGATGTTTTTTAAATTAATTTATTAGGTGAGAACTTCTATTGCAGCCTATTTCAGCACAACTATACTCAACAAAATCATGATCTGGGTGACATATTATAAAATGTTTTCATAAAAGTTGAATGTTTAGTGAAGGTTGATTACGTATAAAACAAATAGGCATATTTAAAATAATGGGAATGAAAAAAAAAAAAGTAAACAGTTCTAATTTATTATTAAACTTCTTAACAGATAGTAAAGGTTTAAAAATATAATAAAAAGTAGTTACTTATTATGTTGAGAAGACTCAATAATGATGCCTAAATCACTTAATAGAGCATTTATACAAACATACTCAGTGTCCCACAATGTTTCAATTTTATAAAACCCTTTTTGAATTAACGTCCAAACTGGCAAACTTTCATAAGGGTACTGCAGGTTTAAAGCATGAATTATTATAAAGCAACAGTCAACCGCGGTTAAAATAGAATTCAAAACATAATATGTATCATCTACCAATATAAAATATTGTGAAATCTCATTACAATTTGGCCCAACAATAATGATTAAGGGTTGTAGAGTTACGCCTAACTTAGAATACTTCTCTTTCCTTCTAGAAACTGTGTCTTGAAGTTCGGTATGTGACTTAATGTGGGTTATGAATCCATCTTTCATTTCCAGTTTAGAAGGCCTCCATGCAACATTTCTTTCTTTCTTTTTTTGGTAATTGGAGACACTAAAAATGGCAAAATCAAAAATGCCGCCAAATAAGATGCTTCTTCACTAGTTAAAAACCATGACATTATAAGAAAATACTGGCTTAAAATACTTTCAAAATAGAACAATTGAATAAATTTAACTATACCTGTAGACAAACTTAGGTATTCATTTATTATGCATTTGAGTGTATTATCTTTCAAATTACTGGAATTGATTTTTCCAAGTTTTAATATTTTGTTTTTATATAATGGAAAGTTTTCAATGAGAATTTCTTTCTTGTCAGGGTACATAAAATTAAAATCTTCAATCAACTAGATATTAAACAATTTATTTTTATTATTATTATTTAATATATATTATATTATAATAAATAAAATCAATATGTTACTTACAAGGTTATAACCCGCAGGCTTTTTGAGAGCTGGAAATTTTTTTATATAATCAGATATTGTGAATAAATCTTTAGTATTTGTATCCAATACATTTTTCAAACGTTTCTGTCGAGTGATGACCCAATATTTTTCGACTAAATTCCATGGATCAGAGTTGTGTAGCCAAGTAATTTGATCATCAACTATTACAATAAATAAAACAGTTATTTTTATGAAATATATAATTTATCTACAGAGTACTTACCATTACCATCTTCCTGTTGTGAGAAGTTTAATGACTCAAATTGGCTGCCATATGTCATAGATGGGGAATGTCTTGGCGTGGTTGAAGTTATGATTCCAGCCTTTTTGTACTCCATTCTTCTGTTATTAAAACAGTCTAATAATTTACCTTTTGCTGCTTTTTTTATGGTTGGACCTAAATAAAAATAAAATTGGTATGAAGGAACATATTTGTTTATAAATTATTTTTTGCACTAGATATATTTACCAAAATTCATATAAGGAATGAAATAGGTACTTATATGTTCCTTGGGGAAGATTTGAACAATTTCTTTTGCTAGAGATAATATCTTCTGTGAATTAATAACCTTTTCTGGGTTATACTGTAGTTCTTTCCTTACTATTAAATTACAGATCTACGGCCACTGTTGTCCAATAATCCTCTATCTGTATATGTTGCTAGTAAAGCTTTTCCTTCAGTACAACTTTGCAAGTAGTTGTTTAGTTCACATTCCTATAGAAATATATTTTTAAAAAATATGTTTAAATAAGTAACCTTAAGAATTAGATAAATTAAATTACTTTTTCCAAAGTGGGTGACAGATTATGAGGTAATCCAAATTTTGGTGATAAACTTCCTTTTGATGTACCTGGTTGAGGGCTTAAGGAACTTAATGAGTCCTCATCAGCTGGGGTTGCTGAGTTAGAAGTAGATGGTGATGGAATTTCAATAAATAAACTATTAGATTCAAAATTGTTGATATCCTAAAATATTAAAATACTTATACAATGTGTCCCAAAAATTAAATTTTACCCAAATTAAAAAACTTGGTAACAATATTTATGATTGATATAATAATAATTTAAACTATAAGTTAGTAAAAATCAAATCAACTTGTTTAAATGTAAAATTAACTCAATTAAAGTTAATTATAATGATTATATAAAAAAAAATTTATTAAGTTTGAAAATTAAATTAATTTAATTTTAACTTATTAACGCGTTAATACCCAGCCTTGCCTCCCAGGATACGAATAGATTCTCACATCGTCAAAATATTAAACATTACATTAATTTCATTCAGATTTAAACTCTTACCAAACATGCAGAGACCTGATCATTTGTAATATTTAAAACTTTTCTCCATTCTTCTAGATTTGTCTTAAATTTAGCTCTATGTCCTATCTTAGGTATTAATTCCTTTATCATATCATCAGTCAACAATGTTAAAGTAGATATGTCTATATATTCTTCTATTATAAAACAAAGTTGAAAGCACATATGTCAACATTAAGCAGTAAGCATTATTCAATAGTAATCCAAGTAAAAAAAAGTGCAGCAGCTATTTGATCAAACAAACAAATTTGAAATTATAATAGGTAGATACGGTCGCTTCGAAATGTCCTAGACCCATATTTCAATGCAGGTAAAACAATATAGCAACAAAAATAATTAATATCAAACTATTATAATTTGTTGTTTTAAAATAATAAAAATATATTCTAATGCTTACCTTTGAATTTGTCAATGTATTCAGAAAAGCCCCAAGCAGTAAGCTTATCAGTTACGTCGGAGTCAGCCATTATTTTATTAAATTGTTATAGCCTATAGGTACCACATAGGTGTTCACAAAACGAAAGTTTATTAGTATTAAATATTTAAAACACTAAAATAATAAGAATTTTAATCAGATAGTTGGAGATTACAAAAGATAAAAATATATATTAACACAGTAACACGTGTATCGTACTTACCAAGATCCATTTAACTTTACCAATGAAAGATCCGTAATAGGTATAAATACCTTATAATTCAATTACTGTAATATTATAATTAAAACTTGCACTTAAGTCAGAACTGCAGAAAAATATAGGCTAATGGTAAATTATAATAAATTAATTAATAACTTTAATAAGGTTATACACTGAACACTGGACACTGCAGGAGAGAGAAGACGCAAGTCGCAAATGCAGTATGTAGTATGTACGATCGCATAACCCTGAACACGCTAGTCGCTGATAACAAAAACATTTATAACCGCAGTCGTCTTACCGATTGTATTTACCCAAGACTAGGTTATATTTACCAAACATGGGTGCAGTCACTAATTTTTATAGTAGGAACAATAATATAATGTTATGTAAATATCATGCAATGGTTTTCTGTAGTTACATTTCACTTTAATGTACTTAATAGTTATCAAATGCTCCGTATCTTTAAAATCGAATACTAGCTATGGGAACTTAAAAGTTTTGTTGAGTTTACAAAAATATTGTAGAATCTTTGTACGTTGTAGAGTCAACAGTATATTGGTAAATGGAAAAATTATTTTTGTAATTTTAACAAAACAAACTTTTACAAAATGTATTGAGTAATGACGACAGTTTAAGACGATAATTTCTACCAAAATTTCTACTGTTGTTGATAAATTTGTGTAGTCACTACAATAAAACAATTAACATAACAGTTTTGTTATATACCATCCAAATATTTTTTTCCGTGTATTTCTCCCGTGTGAAGTGGTACCGTACGTCTATGTGTTTTGTCCGCTTATGAAACTCCGGATTTTTAACTAAACGAATAGCACTCTGATAATCTATAAATAATACTTGTGTTGTGTTTACTACTGTTGTGTTTAGGTTATAATTTTGTATGTGTACGGTGTACCTCCTAGTGGCTGCTACCATATATAGGGGAAAGGTGTCCAAAGCGGCCACCCTAAGGTTCAACACAGTGTCACACTTTCGGATTTAATTTTTTTTTTATGAAACCTTCAAGATTGTCTAGTTGAACTTGTCAGGAATCATAATTTTCAATCAGAAATAATTTTAAACAAATAAATAAAAAGTTATTGTAATTTTTTTTAAAAGTACAAAATTGTTCACTTTGCCCACCTAGGAGTTCAAAGTGGTCAGCCCATGTCCACTTTGACCACCGGTTTAAAATGTCTATTATAATTCACTCACCCGTATGCATAGTCCGATACTTTAAGGGCACCTTAAATCACTTAGGTAATACTTAACTACGGGACACCTAAGTGATACGTAGTCGACACGTAATTTTTGGTTGCATAGTTGAAATTTAAGTAACCCGTAGTTAGGTACTACTTAAATATTAAGGTATTACTTAATATTTATTTTTCCTCAAAATTATTTTATTATTCCATGCTTATCAATAATTGTTATGATAATTATTGGTGTTATCAGTTTGATACTTATAATTAATAATAAAGACATTATAATCAAACTGATTTTTTCAACTTGAAAGTTGAAAATTTAAGTACCTACTCGCACAGAATGGATTTAAAGGCAAATAAAATGTCGAAACGTGAAAGAGGTCCAAATTGGGAAGAAGATGAAAAAACTATATTTTTCCATTGCTACCAAAATGTGGCCAAAGTATTGGAAGATCCGAAAAAGGATTTTAATACAAATACCAAAAAAAATCAAGCTTGGTTAAATCTAATGAACAATTTTAATGGTCATTCTAACGTTAAAAAGGTAATTATTAAACATTGATTTCAAAATAATTGTTTGGAGTATTATGTGTGTGTGTGATGTGTATGACATGTATAAAATGTACAGCATAAAAATAGGTAGGTAAGTTTAGTAGGTACCTAAATAGTATACTATGTACAATTAATATTCATGTAATCGACTATCTTCTAATAATTTTGAAATTGTTATTCAGTGTCTACTAAATACTCACAATAAGATAAATAAAAGTATGCTAAGTTTCCAAAAAAGACTAATACAAATGAAAAAAGAAATGTTTCTTGGTGATTTTAACTCCCATTCTAATGTATAAAAGGAAATTAATCTATCATGGATATTTATGTTTAGTTTAAATGTATTACCTATGTAGGTAGTATAATATAAACATTAATTGATAATTATTTAAAAAAAATATATATTAATGTCCCTATTATATTTAATAAAGAGAGAAATAAAGAATTTGAAAAAGTTTTGGGAGTCTGAAAAAGCAAAATCCCGCAAGGCCTTCACAGCAGAGAGAAGTGCAAGATTAGGCACTGGAGGTGGTTGTCTACCAGAACTCCAACATTCTCAAGATCTTGCTGTGGAGGAATTGATTGGAAGACCGCATATTGTCGAATGGACCAACAGATTTGACAGTGATGGTGTTGCCATCTTAAATTTGAATGGTAGTTTTATTGTCTCATATAATATTAATTATGTTCAGTTTCTATAGTATTTTTATATTCAATTTTTATTTAATATTTAGAAAGTGTAATGGACAATGGAACTCTTGGGCAAAGTATAAGCATAACTGGTATGTATATTAATAAAAATATTAAGAGGATATCAGCAATTTTTTCTAGCATTAATAATAATAAATGTAATGAATTAATAGTCCAATTACTTCAAGATTAGGTAAGATGAGGTAAGTGGAACACAATATAAAAATTCAACTTCAACTTAAAACTGAAATATGTTTTGATGCTCTATACAATTTATTGGTTTCACATTAACATTAAATACATCTATAATATTGCCTATAATTTTTTTGAATCAGGTTGAACTATGATAATTGAATTTAAAAATATTTTAAGGTACCTTAAATGTATGATGTATTTATCCTCCTATCCTCCTGCCATCATTTAAATATCCTACATTTCCGCCATTCCTTATAATTTGTTATTAATGTTAGAGAGAGAAAACTTTTCATCTAATAATATTAGTTAAATATAATTATAAAACTAATAAAGACACTTTTCAAAAATGTAAAATTTAAAACCAAATACTATAGATCAGAATGATTCTACCACACAAGGGATAATGTTCAAAGAAAATGAGGATACTGAAGTTTTAACAACAAATGGTTTGTACCTATGCAACAAATATATTTGAATAATATTTTACATTTAATATGTAAAATTACATATACTTGTTTTCATTTTCCAGATGATAATCCTATTGTCATTACATTAAGAGAAGATTCTATAGATAGAGGTAATTGTTTTAAATTTTGACATTTTGGAGGTATTAGGTTATTACATTTGATAACTTAGGTAGTTAATTTGTGGTCATCACTAATCACTGAAATTGAGTACCCGTGTTAATATTAACAATATATATTGCCTTGCCTATTATCTATAACACAGTAAAGAAAAATCATTTAATAAAAGACAGATTTTAATTATAAAATGTAATAATTCATAATCTGTTTTTTTAAATAAAATGTTTGTTTAAATTAATTTATATAATATAATGCATTGACTATATACAAAATATGAATTGTAATTAAAGTTGAATTATTTTTATAATATATTAATGACTCTTGTTTATTATATAATAATACTATACCAAAATATTTATGTGTTTATGTACCTATGATTTTGTTTAGTAAAATCTGATACTGGAATGGCTTCAAAATATGTTAAAGGCAATAAAACGGATCATATTTTAAAAGAATGTGAACTAAGAGTCAAGCGCCAAAAAATTGCCTTAGATCATGAACAAAAAATGAATGAATTGCAGGTAAATATAATATACAGTTTGTAAGAAGTGAATATACTTAAAATAATTAAAATACAGATGCAGATGGTAAGTCACAAATGATATGAATATTGAATAATTAGGTAGTAAGAACTTGGTGTAATAAGTATCTATTCAAATATGAAATTGTATCTAACTATTTTTCAATTGTACTTAATTTTTTTTTGGATTTTATAGATTACAAACACATAAGCAGATACACCTTGATAGTTCAACATTTTTAAATATATTTTTAATACCTCATTCACATTACTAATCAGTATCATGTCCTTTCTTATTATTTCTTATTGTTCCTTTTTCTGAATCATATATCGGGCTAAACCTTCTCCTTAAATTAATTCCTTAAAATATTACCTATGTTAGAACCAGACGTAAGTAGCTTGTATATTTTAATAATATTATAGTGTGCTTCCAAAAAATTATTTTTGCGCATTCACGATTTTCTGCATACTTGTACATATTTATTTTACATTTTTGTTTAAAGGCCTTTTCTTATTTAAATAATTGTCTTTTTTTTAAAGAATGGCGTTTAATAATATTTATACATTTTTATAATAATAGTTATAAATTATAATATTAAAATAATCAGTTTTGAAAATGCATGCATGTAAATGTTATTCTTGTGAATTAAATTCACAGGCCTGGTAATAAATAAAATGTCATGGTTTTAGATTTTGAACCAAAAACTCATTATGCAAGCCACAGTGGCCAAACGGTTGGAAGAAAATAAATTGTTTAAGCTCCAGTGTCAAAAATTGGCGTTAGAAATCAAAAAATTAAAAGATTGATACATATTAAGTATTATATAAATTTATAAATATGTATTATAATCTTATGATTACCCATTAAAATTTGTTTTAAAATTAACAGTATACGTAACTAAATTATTACTATACTTATTATGTTATACAATAAACTGTTGTTACTGTTGTTTACTATTTGCTATATTAAAATATATATAATATGTATATCTAAAAAAATTAATTTGTGTAAAATCAAATTTGTATTATTATATTATTATGAAATAAGTACATTTGATAGAACTTGAAAGTTGAAAGTGAAGTAAGTCAACAATTGTGTAACTAATTGTTTGTCTTAAAACAAAAAATACATAAAATTAATTTTAACTTATTATGAACTTATAAGTAATTATACATTACGTTTCCTGTTTAAAATTACTTAGGTGGTTATATTAAAAGTATCTATGATATGCTGGTAACTTATTATAATATTAATGTGCAGTTGCTTAAATTAGATAGGTACACAGCTCTAACTAAAATGTCTAATGATGTATGCACTTCTTGCCGCTGGCCCTAATATATTATTGTCATCATTATACTCTCCATACTCCTCTTCTAAAATGTCTTCCTCGTCATCGCTATCGTCATCAGCATTTTGATATTTTCTTGAAATATTGTGGAGCATAGCACATGCAATAATAATATTTACAATTGTAGAAGGTGCATTGGCAAGACCCCTTTGGAGGCAAGGAAATTTTCTTTTCCAAACTCCAAACACCCTTTCAATAATATTCCTTGTCCTAATTTGTGCTTTGTTATATTTCAGTTCTGGTGGTGTTACAGGGTTTCGCAATGGAGTAAAAAGATAAGTCTTACATGCATAACCTGTTAAAAGAAAAATATATCTTTAAAATCATACCCTTGCAGTTAATCTAAAAAAAAAAATGTAATAACTGTAAGCAGAACATTTATATATCAATTCAGATAATAATATTAAGAAAAAAAAGTTAAATACCACCATCTCCAAGTAATAACATGTTATGTGTACGTTCATCAAAATATTTATTTGCGTAACTGCTACTGAAAATAAAACTGTCATGATAACTGCCTGGCCATCTAACTACTATATCCATAAACTCCATTGATGGACCACATACTGCCTATAGAATAATTTAAGTATTTTAATTATTAATGGTATTAGTTAGGAATACTATGGTTAAAGTGAATTGAATATTATTTCTATTATTTTATTTTTTTTGTAGGTATAGGGCTTCGAAACAGGACATTAGCTTGAGATATTGTAGGTTTTTACTTTTTAATACGTATGTGTAAGTGTGGTAAGGATTTGTCGCTAAAAATCCCGGGAGCAAGTGACACCGGCCGGTGAGTACACTCAGACCAGGTTCCGTAACTGAATGCACACAACAATAAGCCACTGTTTCCAGTATTACCAATATTCATTTGTGATATACCATATACACTATAATAGTATAATGTATAATGTAGTATAGGTACCTACCTAATTAATATGTTATTATAATATATAATTATAATTATATTATCAACCTGAAAACTTACCTGGACATTTAAAGAAAAATAACCCTTTCGGTTTCTAAACGCTTCCGAATCCGGACCACCTGGGTTTTGAATTTTAATGTGGGTGCAATCAATGCACCCTCCAATTCCAGGCATTTTGTACATTTTATAAAATTTATCCTGTACAACTTTCCATTCGTCAACATTTCTAGGAAAATGTACGTGGTGTTTTCAGGGGCGAACGCAGGAAAAAATTTCGGGGGGGGTTTTGAAAAAATTTTAAGTAGGTATTCATAAATATCATATTATTCATACTGTATTACACTTTTCTATATTTTATTTTAGTCACTAATACTATATACATAAATACATAATGTCATAATACATATTACATAATATTATTATAGATAATAATTAATAACTAATTATTACAATTTGTCAATTTACATTATAAAACGAGATCTATGCGTCTTGGTTTTTTTGCCATTATGTCAATGACCTCTTCACAAGTCACTTCCACGTCTCTGTATAAGTTTAATAGCATTAATCCATTTAATCGCTCCTCACCAGTCTTGTTGCGCAGATATGTTTTTAATCTTCGAAGACAAGAAAAAGACCGTTCACTTGTTGCCACAGAAACGGGTAGAGTTGCACCAATCTGCAAAAATGTGTGTATTGATGGATACAATGCAGAATTACAATAGTTGAGAGTCTCAATAAATGTTCTAGGCCGTTTATCCTTTGACATATTTAAACAATGTCTGAAACAACAATGCATTTTATGTTTTAATATAGATCTCAAAACATATTTTTATGTATAAGAAATTTAATATTTTGTTACCTGTGCCACATGGTCATCTCAGCTATAAAATCATCAGTAGATCCCTTGATGTCAATTGGCCATTCTTTTGCAAAAGTATTTACCGTTTCACTGATTTCTTTTGTATTCAGCTCAGAACACTTAGTTGGAAGAATATTTTGAATTTTTGACAATAGTTCCCGGTGTTCAAGAAATCTTATTTTTAACTGCATTAATAAGTGGTCCAAAAAAGGATGAAAAATGGACCGACGAAAATATTCCTCTGGACCGCCTTCATAATTGTCTCTGTTCTTCTGTATTCCAATATTCCGCGGGGGTGCTAAATTAATATCCAATTTGTCCGCCATTTCTTTTGCTGCTGCATACAAGCTTTTGAATTTCAAGTCCGAATCACAACGCATTTCATTGATTTCATCATACACGTGATTTGCATAATCAATGCATAAGCTAAGATCACAATCTTCCTTTTGTAAAAACACACTGAGATTTTTCATTATGCTGAAAATCGGCTTTACTACTGTTAAAGCCATAATAAATTGAGGTGTTTTTATCGATGCAAGCAGGGCATGAGGTTTGACTCCGATGGTTTTCAAATTATTTTCATCCAGATACTCTAACGATAAGCAGATATGTTCATATACATCGTTGAACAAACTGAGTGAGTCCAAATGCTCAACCCATCTCGTTTCGCAAAATTTAAGAAGACGTGTTTGTTTCGCACTTGGGCAAGACACTTGAATTTTTTCTTTTAAAACTAGACCTGCCTTATTGGATAGACGAAAAAAATGTACAACCTCTTTAATTGTGCCTATGCAATTTCGGATGGACGATATTTTGCACGCATGTGTAATAGCCAAATTCAAATTATGATTAGCACAGTGGACGTAAATAGCTTCCGGATATAGTTCTCGAACTTTAGCAGCACAGCCGTTGAATTTTCCGCTCATTGCACGCGCCCCATCATAGCCTAAACATTTTTATAAAGAAAATATAACATAACCAAATATATATAAAGTTATAACCTAATAAATATTAACACATACCTTGCCCTCTCATATTGGCCAGGTTTATGCCAATGTTTTCCATCGTGGTCAGCAACGTATTTGCAAGCCCCTTTCCGGTAACGTCCTCAACAGGGATAAAGCACAAAAAGTCTTCTCGAATTTTGTATTCGTCCATTTTATCGACAAATCGAGCGCATATTGAAAACTGTTCAATGCCACTCACATCCGTACTTTCGTCAGCAATGACAGAAAAATATCTAGATTTGTTTACACGTTGCACAATATTCGTCGTTATTTGTTTCCCTGCTGCATCAATTATTTCATTTTGAATACGATAGCTTAAATACGTTGAATTCGCACCCGCAGTATTTAAATGATTGGCCAAAGCTTGATCGCCGTTGTCTAGGGCATAACGAAGTAACGCTCTGAAATTCCCGTCGTTTTCTACCGGCATTTTCCGTGATAAAGAGCCCTGATCTCGATGACCTCTTAATGCTAATCCTTGCCTGCCACACAGCAAAACGGCTCGGACGATCGGAATTAACTTATGTCTGTTTTCGAGTTGTTGTATTTTTCGCCCTTTGTCAATTTCGCTGATCACGTCACTCTTCCGTTTTTCGTAAATCAACTTAAAATGTTGTCCATCCTCCATGGCGTCAAGGTGATATTTTTTTTTTTGGTGTTCTCTAAATTTTTCAAGTGCTTTCTTCCAATCTTGAAACGCAGTCTGAACCAATAAATTTGTGTTCTGATGACCCCCTTTACCAACAGAATTTGATCCAAATGAGACACAATAACGGCAATAAGCTCCGTCTTCTGCAGCAGAATACACCAACCACACAAATGAGCGTAACCAAGAATGCTGAAATTTCAAATTTCGTTTGCCAGAAGTCGGAAACTTGAAGTCTACATCAGGTATCCAATTATGCACAAGAACTTCATATTTTTCAATGTCATTCAATTGCTTACGACAAAAATTTGCAATATCATTCGGAAAAATCTATAAATAAAATATATAACAATTAACAAACAACAATAATATAATATTATAATAGTAAATAATATATTATATTTTAAAATATTATTTATTAATATTATTATTGCAAAAAGTCAAAAACTCACATTACGATCTGCGTCAGATTGCGACATCTCGGGTTTTCGTCTTTTTATTGGTGGACTGCCTACAGACGATTTATCTGAATCTACATCAATCGAAACATTCGAAACTGAGGTAGTATTTTTATTGTCTGATTTAAAAAACTTTAAAATTGAACTCATTTTTAATATATTATTTTAAATATTTGGGTTTAATAAATATTACGTCTTTAGTATAGTAAAACAGGCGCGAGACACGAGACACGACTACACGAGACACGAGTATACGACAGTTCGTTGGCATACTATGGTATATTATATTGATTATTGAACAATGATACAATTTCTAGAATTATCTAGATTTTAGATAAGACGGGTCGTTGCGAATTTCCGGTAGACGGCAATTACACTCGTCGTCTGTCTACATTACGTACATCATCGGATTGGCGGCCTTCGATGTCGATCAGTCATCAATAAGTTATAACATACTGTCATACTCAATTCGAAACTGCATTATCATACATTTTATTGGTGATTTTACTGTATCCATTAATTTACAAGCCACGGGAGAAGGGAAATAATTTATTTTAATTTTTTTGAAATGTTATTAGTAATACATTTGTAGGTCAGATAATTTATTTTTTGTACCTACTATTTCGGGGGGTGTTTAAACCCCTAAACCCCCCCCCCCTGCGTTCGCCCCTGGGTGTTTTGCATTACTAGCCATAATTTTGGATAGACGTGTTATTATTCTGGAAACCGTTGATTGGTGAATTCGCCTTAAATCACCATTAACAATCTAAAAAAAAATGCCCTTGTAATATAATTAAGGTAAGAGCAGTATTTGTTGGAAAAGGTTAATAATACATGGTGGGAACAAAAAGCTCAAAAATACTTTTATAGGCTTACTTGAAAGTTGGATGTTCCATAAAATCTTAAAAGGGTTAGAAGCTGAAATAGAGGTGGGATTGGTAAACCACGATTGTTCCGCCTGTCTTCAATGTTTATCATTGGCATTAATTTGTCTCTTACTATTTCTTTCGAGAACCTAAATTATTTTGAGTGTATTTTAGTTAATCTGCTTGAGTTTGGAGTCAAATAAATTATATAAAAATAACATCGATAATCAAAGAAAACCAGTAGCACGCTATATAGTATATACTATAGGTACTCGAAATTTTTTCTGTAGGTAATATGTATGATTAAAATTGATACGATTAGGTTGTATAATCATAATAGCAAAAACCTTTCGAAATTTTACCTCATAGTCAGAGAAAAAAATCTTGTATCCAACGCAAAAACATGTGTATGTTAAAAAAATTTTAAAAAATAATAATACAAGTTATTTTATTTGTCATGTTTTCCTGCGACCTGCAGCTGCAATATATTTTATACAAATGTCTCCCCATCCAAAATACACCTTTGAAATCTTCACTAAAATATACTTAAGCCTAAAATTATTTATTATAGGTAATAATAAAAACCTACCGATATCTTCTATAAAACTCCAGTGGCGTATACACTTCCATAGGATTTGCACTGTCTCTGATGTATTTCCTTATGGGCACTTCTTGTTCATCGGCAGCTAATTGTATGAAGTCAATTAGCTCAAATATATCATCGTTCATGTTTACTTGTTTGTAATTAAAACGATAAATGAAAGTTTAATGAAATAAAACAATTTTTAAAACGATGACGCAGCAGAACAAATAAAAATGTCTTTATATCAGAATGACTGATATCAAATGTTACGGGCCCGCTATGGGCTGTTAATCCAGCACTTAAATTTAAGGGAGTCCTTAAGTGACAACTATCCCATAAGTATGACTGTGCAACGTAATTTTAAGGGACTGTGCTTAGGTGACACTTAAATTCATTTGAAGTAACACTTAAATGACTGTGCATACGTCGGACTATTTTATAAAATTATCATAAATAGGTATATATAATGTAACTTATATTTTATTCTCACAACAAATTTTCTTTAATAAATAAGTAACTTCATTTCAAGCTTTGTGTTTCTTATTAATTTTTTTATAATTAATTAACACATTAATCAAACTTGGTATATTTTTGATGAATAACAAAGCTATTTTATAAAATAAACATATCAACTTATTAATTATATCTTTCTTATCTAAACTATAGCTTTTAAATAATAATAAATACATAAATAAATAATAAATCATAGCAACAAAAACAATTTTATAAACAACAACTTTATGTTTTTAATTATGTCATATTTTTAAAATGAATTTACAAATTAATCAGACTTAGTACCTTCTTGGTAGTAACATTAACAATTTTATAAACAACAACTTTATGTTTTTAATTATGTCATATTTTTAAAATTAATTTACAAATTAATCAGACTTAGTCCTTCTTGGTAGTAACATTAACAATTTTATAAACAACAACTTATTTTTCTGTTAGGTTATATTTTTAAAACTAATTAACAATTAATCAGACTTCGCACCTTCTTGGTAGCATTAACAATATTTTATAAACAACAACTTAAGTTTCTTACTAGATAATATTTTTAAAATTAATTCAGGTACAAATTTATTAATCAGACTTAGTACTTTTATGGTAGGTAACAAAACAAAATAAAATACACATAGGTAACCTAATAAGCGTTTGATAATGTTGTACAAAAATCACAAATAAAACTGTGTTCTTCACATCCAGCACAACCGTCGTGACACCATTTCATGCATTTTAAACATCTTACCCAGCCTTCATTAGATTATGATTGAGAAAATGTTCCACCACAATATGGACATTCAGCATCACTATCTTCATAAACAGTATTTGGAGGGATTTTAGACTTGTTTTGATTTTTTTTTCGTTTGCATGTTGGTTTTTTTTTTATTAAATAAACGTTTTTTAGATGGTGTTACGGCTTTGGAAGCTTCAAGTTCTGTTTTATATGGACTAGATGTTAAAATAGCAGCTGTGCCTTTTTTCCTGTTAGTTGACCGTGATTTAATACTTGTTTTAGGTATAGGAATTAAATGTACTGGACTAACAGTAAACGATGAGCTAGGTTGGGTTTCTTCTTGATTGTTATTTGTTTCATTCTCATTTATTGAAACTTCAGCTACTGGTGGATCTATTACAGCAATTTCAGCTATTGGTGGATCTATTACAGCAATTTCAGTAGTTTGAGCTGCAATAAAATCTGAATCATCAAATATATTCGGATCTAATGGCACAATTCCACATTTTCTGAAACCGTTTATGGCAATCATATGAGTTGCAGCTTCAATGTAAGCTTCACCAAAAAGTTTGCTCACTTGAAATTGAGATACAACTCTTCCTGGGTTATTTCGTAGGAACTTCTCAATTGCCTGAACATAGTATGTATTTAGAGGTCCCATAAAAGAAACGTCCAATGGCTGCAATTTGTGGCTACAATGTGGCGGTAAGCACACAACAGTGGTATGATTTTTCCTTGCTAAATCAATAAACTGTAAATTCCTTGTGTGTGTCATATGACCATCTAGTATAAGCAGAACTGGATCTTCTGCTGTTGGTTTGGCATGATTAATAAAATGTTGGAACCATTCTGTAAAAATTTCTAATTGCATCCATCCAGATGGGTGACAATGAAAAATAGTTCCTGGAGGAGCACCATCCTGTAGTTCAGGTTTCATTCTCACCCTAGGAAAAATTATAATTATCATGGGTGGTATAAAATTTCCACCAGCTGACATACAGACTACAATTGTTGACAAGACACCTCTCTCTGCTGAAGTAAGAGAACCTACTTGTCTTCTTCCTTTTAATGCAAAAATTTTGGAACATTTTGATTGAACTGTGGTTAGTCCAGTCTCGTCAACATTAAAAACTCTATGTGGTAAGAAGTTATTTATTTGCTGAACATTTTGTAAAATAGTAAAAAATTTCATCACATTTGGACGATTAAATGCCTGAGCTCTAGCCGAGGACGTAGCTTCTGGGGACCTAAGTGTTATCTCTGGATGGCGCTTTCGGAATCCTTTTACCCAGTCTTTACCAGCCATTTTTTTTGTAACATTGAAGTTGTGTGCAATATTATTTTTTTCAACTAATTCATAAGCTAATGTTTGGATATTATTTATTGTTAGTCCATAAAATCTTTTTTCCATATCAAATAGGTAATTTACAATTTCTTGTTCTTGATCATTAGAGAAAACTGAACGAAATCGACCAAGAATTTTTTTATTACCTGAACAAATATAATAATATACCTCTATTATATTGTATATTTTAGATATTAAGTATATTATTTAATAATATAAATACATACCTGTTGCATCAATATTAATATCTTCAACTCTTCTTTTTAATGTCGTTCTTGGGACGTTGAAATATTTGGCAGCTTTATTGTAACTTAATTTTTTATTTTTAACTGCATCAATTGCTTTTTTCATGCTCACTGCATTCCAGCTTTGTTGATTTGAAGTTCTTTTGTAGTTGGTAGGCATCTTAACTTTTCTATAATTTAACAGATACAAAATAATACATACTGATGATGGTAGGTATCTAAGAATTCTTTGTTTCAGAAGTTTTTGTTATTAATTTTATAACTTTTAATCAGATTAAATAGTAAGTAAGTCATTAATTATATTTATTTACCACTAACATGGTTAAGCAGTAATTTAGTTTATATAGGGTCTTTATAGTTCTTATGGTATAATAACTACACCAAATATTTTTTTTACATGCATAAACAATTATAATTATTAAATAGACATGATAAAAATGAAAAGTATTTTAAGCACGGGCAAACTGGTCACCATAGTGACCACTTTGCCCTTTTAATAATGTTTAATTTACTGTTTAAAAAAATATTAATCCTATTATCTAATTAAACTTAAGTTAATTCTATAACATATAAAAACTTATATAGATTTTGAAAAAAAATAATTTGGGCATATTAATTACTATGTTCGTAAAATATAATTATTTATTCAGAGCACTTACCTTAGATCAACAGAATCAAAAAATGAATTTTTTTTTTTAAACGAAAACGGTAAATGTTATAATCAATAGTGGTTTATCAGTTGATAAATATGATAACAATGAACCAAACCACGTGATGAAACCAGCTGTTTATTTATTAATCACAGAATAATAAGACATGACCACTTTACCCGCTGTGGCCACTTTGTACACCTTTCCCTACTTTTTAGTTTTTTAGAATTATTTGTGGAGTTCTATCTTTCTACTAGTATATTTATCTTACTTAATACTTATATACCTACGATTTACGAATTGCAAAGATACGATTCACTCGCGCATCTAATAACATACTTGTAATTAATAAATAATATAATATGTAATACAATAGTACACAGTAGGTTATTGTTAAAAATGTATAGAAGTAAAATTATGTTGTAGACTGTAGTAATTAATAGTACGAATCATTTTTAGTTTCAAACCTATAGAAAAATACCATAGGTAAGTAACCCAATTGTATAAATTCAAGTTATTTATACAGTAGATTTATGATTATTTATACATTTGATTAGTTTTATAAGAAAAACTAGCTGAGCCCGTGCACTTCGTTTCCCGTTAAATGTACCAACTCTATATGACTCAAACATTGTTCAATGCGTTATTTAATATTCGGTGTATGATGTTCTAGATTTATCTTAACTTTTCTGTTGCCCGGAATAAAAATTCTGAATTGCAGCAGTACATTATCAGATAGGTAATTTACTTGCGGTAGATCGCGGACCCTGTGCTGTTTGTACGTAAGTGTATGATTTAACTCAAAAAGTACCAAAGTTATACCAAGTTTGACGTTTTTACTTAATTCCACCTACCTATAAATCCTAACCTAACATAACCGTACTAAAATCCGATGAATAAAAAAAACCAAATTTAACCCTTTTTAAATTAGCGTATCTTCTTCCCATAGGTCTAATCTACACACCGTCATTCATTTATATATAAGATATATTTACAAAAAATAATAATACAAATCAACAAACATGCCCGATTAACCAATAGCAACCAATATAATACACCATAGAGTAAATAAAGACAACGGTATCGAGTTCAAATCCCAGCCATCAATAAATAGTTTTCGCAGTTTTTCTAATTATTCGGTTGACTTTATAAAAATTTTCTTTCGTAAAAACCTTCTCCTGGCAATTACGAACATCTTAAAAAAAATTGAGCAAAATCGGCCCAGCCGTTCTCAACTGATGCAATTTCGAATTTTTTGTCTCCATTTTTATATAATATATAGATGATATAGGTGTAATATATATTGTACTTATACAAAATAAAAACTTTTTTATTTTTTATTTTGGTTAATGTTTTTACATATATAATCTGGTTCCCTGATATCGGATTTAAGCAACCGTTTTGGATACAACGGGTCTATTATTTCTGGTAACAGACATTTCATATAGTATCTGTAAAAAATAAAAATGTCATAACACTTATTTAGTTCCTACCCATTTGTAATTTCTTTATATAGTATAAACAATAAACATAAACTAGGCCTATAATATGCCTATAATATGTTATAAATTATTTAAAATATAAATTATTATAATAATAGCTACGTTTTTAACTTTTCCTCCATTTTTGATTTACAAAAAGAATGATCATAAAAAATGTTTGTACATGTAGCCATTTTTCAGCGTATACAACAAAATAACACTTAGTTCTTTTAGTTATATAAAGCTGTCCCATAATTTGATAGTAGTATACACTTTCTTTTTTTAGTTGTACTGCTTGAGTAGACGGATCAATAAAACAATGTTGAAGCTAAAATAGATATAGGTACGTTAGTTGTAATGTTATTTTATAATATGAATATATGATGACTCGTTTATGAAACAATATTATATTCTTACAAGGTTTTTGTGTAGAGCTTCAACTACGCTAATAGTATCTCTAGCTACAAATGGACATTTAATTTCTACTATTGCGGTATCTTCTATCATCCCATCTTAACAAAAGAAAATTATTATATGATTAATTACTAACGTAAAAATATAATTTGAAGTTCAGTACTCATATTATTATAATAATATAAAGGTTTAAAAATGATGTTATAGTATTTTCTCGATTTTACTCATAACAGACTCTTGTTTTTGTTATTATTTATTTAGTTTGTTATGAATACAATATAGCGATGACATCAATTTATTAAAATATTTTTTTTTTTAATTGAATAAATTATAAATATTATATTAAACTAAATCACCTGGGCTAGCTGCTAAATATCCTATTTCTTTATCCACAAATAAACCACATGCATATATTGTCTTAGATAAAAAACGTTCAGCTTTTTTTCTTGCAACAACTTCCATGTCTTTTCCATACTGAATAGCTTTAGAATGAATATCTGACCCATAAAGTATAATATCATACACTGTATTTTTACAACTAGTGGTCTTTCGCATTTTGCAGATATGACCAAACCGAGATGCAGTAAGACGTATTCTTCGCTCTTTAAACCATTTATCACACTCACTTTGTTCTCTGGTATCTATTTCTATTTGTTCAACATAAGCTCTTTGTAACGAAGCAAGAAAGTCTATTTTTTTAATTTCCATTTGTTCTGGTGATAGTGTTTCTAATAGTGGTGCAGCCATACCATAATCAGCATCCGGTCCACTTGTCTTTTTTGGTACTTTTCGTGTTTCTGAAAATAACTGCCGTCTTTTTATTGTGTTTGATCTTATCCTATGACAGTTGTTGATAAACTTTTTCCCAAATGTTCCTGAAATTAAACATAATGTATACAGGAAAATAAATTAAACTAAAATTTGAATATTTATTGATTATATACCAGGACTAAAGCCATTAGAATGTTTTTTATGTATAAGTCGTAAAAAGTTTTTTGAGTTGAAATCTATCACGGCAGCTTCAACCCTTGTATTGTAGCTTCTTCTTCCAGAAAAGTTAACTCTCTTGCCACCAGTATGTTTGTTTATAATAGAATTAAATTGTTCACAAATATTATTGTTTTTATTTTCGAGTAAACTTTCGGCGTTTGTAATTAATCTGGACATTATATTTTGGATTTCACTCATGATTCCATTTTTTTCTGCTTCAGGAACTAAGTTTAATGTATTCTGTAGATTAGAACCATTACAAAAATAGGAATCTCAATTTGAATGTTGTCCTTATCGATGGAATGGAGCATTAGCCAAATCTTTTTGAATTCCTAGAAAGTTAATATAGGTACAATATATTGTATAAAGACCATAAAAAAATGAATATTATGCGATTAGATATATAAAACGATAATCAAATTGAATGTAATTAATTCACATAATAAAGAGAGTTGGTAGCTTTTATTTTTTGAGCTTTGTTTGTATCATTAGTATTTCTCCAATGTTTTTTACAGATTTTGTGACATCACTCCTAAATCGCTGTATATTGCTCAATAAATATTTACGAACTCGCAATGAATATTTAGTTATTTTAGATAACGCGGTCAGTTTTGAACAATTATTACGCATCAGGTGATTCCGACATTCAATTTTTTTAATGTGAAAATGGTGCCGCATGGTGAAATTTCGTGAAGTCCTTTTGTTACACTGCTATCTCCGTCACCTAAAGGCAAAGTAAAAATCATTCTATGAACATATTTTAAACTCACCAAATTAAATATACGTTAGTATGATAATAAAATGAACTGATGTTTATGATGCTATAAACATTTTAATCTAGGAATGGATGAGCTCCAATAACTTGATAACCTGTTATCAGCGTTTTACTGTTTACGCACGTCGATTGTTTGATTACAATTTTCATGATTTTTTTTTTTTCATTTTTGTTTTTGAATATAGGTAAGTAAATTAAATATTATTATAAAAACCATATATAATAATGTATTTTAAGGTATTTAACTATATTTTACAACGCAAATTAATATATTATCCGATGACTTAAATTTATAAAGTACGTTAGGGGCACTGTGAGACGGGGCACAGTCAGACAGTTGGTCTCGTAAATAATGTTCTTTTAAACATTATAGTAAAATTTGTATTTTATAATTTACTTATTCATAATAAAAGTACCTATATAATAATATATCTCATAATTAAATTAAATACGAATTGTATGTGTAAATTAACATGTCAATATTTGATAATATAGGTATGTGACAAGATATATTTTTTATTTTACAGTCAACAGTCATGGTTAGAAACTACAAAAGACGTACGTTAGGAACCTTCAGTGAAGAAAATATGAGAGAAGCTGTTAAATTAGTATTAGGAGGTATGTCCTGTCACTCAGGAAAGCGGCAGAACAAAAATTAGTGAAGTTTCAAACATTAGCTAGGTATGTAAAGAAACAAAAAAATGATCTCAAATCTAATTTAAGGATGTGTCCGCGGTATGACTGTCGTCTAGTTTTTAATAAAAACCAAGAAAAACAACTTGTTAATTATCTGATTAAATGCTCAAAAATGTGTTATGGGTTAAACACTGTCGAATGTAAGAAATTTGCATATGAATTAGCAAAAAAAAATGATTTGAAAATGCCTTGTACTTGGGAAACAAATCAATCAGCTGGGTCTGAATGGATGTCATCTTTTTTAAAAAGAAATCAAGAAATAAGTCTACGATCACACGAGGCGTGCAGTCTATCAAGAGCCACATCATTTAATAGGCATAATGTCATGCAATTTTTTGATAAGTTAATGACAATTATGAAAAGACATCCAAAGTTTAGTGATGGCTCTTGTATAAATAACTTAGACAAAACCGGTGTTACTACAGTTCAATCTCCAAAAAAAGTTATTGCTGAAAAAGGTATAAAAAGATTAAATAAAGTTACAAGTGGAGAAAGGGGAGTTCTCGTGACTGTTTGTTATATTATAAATGCGTATGGTTATTCATTGCCTCCTTCGTTCATTTTTCCTCGTGTTAGTTTCAAGAATCATATGCTAATAGGTGCCCCGAGTGGATCTTTAGGATTGGCAACTCCCTCCGGTTGGATGAATTCAACATTGTTTATTGAAGTATTAGATCATTTTATAAAATTTACTAATTGTTCTACTGAAAACCCTGCACTGTTAATCATGGATAATCATGAAAGTCATATTTCATAAGAGTGTATTGATAAAGCTAAATCCAATGGCATCACAATCTTAACATTGCCCCCACATTGTAGCAATCGAATGCAGCCATTAGATGTTAGTGTTTATGGGCCTTTTAAATCTTTTTATAATCATTCAGTAGATTCTTGGCTACAGGCACACCCTGGAAAAACAATATCAATGAAGTAGCAGCTTGTGTTGGAAAAGCATTTGAAAAGTCTATGACTCCATCCAATATAAAATCTGGTTTTAAATCTACAGGAATTTTCCCTTACGATAAGTTTATTTTTAATGATGATGATTTTCTTGTCAGTTCTGTCACTGACAGACAAGAATCTCAACAAGTGTCAACAGATAATAACTCCAGAAGTCCTAGTTTAGTCAATATTAGTCCAACTGAAGCTTCAACTAGTAAAACTTTTGTAAGCCCTGAAGACCTAAGAGGATATCCAAAAGCTGAAGCCCGAAAAAACAGAGTAAACAAGTTGCAACAGATACTATATATCTGTATATAAATTATACAGAAATACCTACCTACATTTCTTTTAAGTTTTTTTTTACATTTAGTTGATTTTGAAAACATAAGACTGTTAAAATTTTAATATTTACCTATAATTTCTTTTAAATAAATTGATTTGTTGTTGATTTGTTTTTTAGTTTTAAGTTAAAACTGTTTAAAATGAAACATTATAATTTTAATATTTACCTATAATTTCTTTTAAAAAAATTTATTTGTTGTTGATTTGTTTTTAGTTGTAAGTTTAAATAGCTGAAAATGAGACATAAGAGTGTCAAAATGTAAAAATTTTTACCTTTAATTTGTTTTAAATAGAAACTACCTACATTTATTTGTTGTTGAAAAATGTTGTTATTTTGTTAAAGACAGGACATATTTATTTGATATTGGTTATTTTTTAGTTGAAGTTGAAATTAATACTGTGAAAACTATTACCTATACTATTCATTTTTAAAATAAAGGACATATTTAATTAATTGTTGGCTGATTATGAAACACAACACTTAAAACTTAAAATGTTATGTAAAAACATAAACATTTATCTATAATAAACATTATATAGGTATAGTGTAAAATAATAAAATAATGTATTTGCAATCAAGAAGTTAGTGTAATTTACATCTAATTTTAATTCCATTAAATTATTCAAAATGAGTAAACATTATTTTAAAATTAGGTTGGGTGGATTCTTATATAATACCATATTTTAATATAGTTTTGTGTGTGTCTCACTGTGTACTGGGTCGAGGTACAGTGAGACAGCAATTTAAAATATTTTGATAATATCTTAAAATATATTTAAGTTATGAGTTATGTTATTACATGATTTAAATGCTTAACACAATTGTTAAAATAAATCATATATACACAAAATCATAAAAATTATTAATTTCAATGATATAAGGAAAAGAAAAAAAAATGTCTCACTGTACCCCGGTCTCCCCTACAACATACTTTACATTTAAAAACAAATATCGAATAAAAGCCATGTATCACTTTGAGTGAAATTCCATGTCAATAAATGAGCATCCAAATGGTCCTTTATGCCTTACTTGTATTTGTTTGAGGAGAAATGCAATATCTACAATTCGTCGACCAACTAGAGGACTACAAATAAAATTCAAATACCATAGTGAAAATTAACTTATTATATACCTACATATTATAATTTTAATATTATATTATTATTAAAATATTAGTTATTACCCTTTCAAATCAAGATTGGCATTATTATCATTGATTTCTGTACATAACGCATGTGTATGTGATGGAGTGAGTGAGTCACTAAAATTAATTAGGTAAATATGTATACATGTATTGATGTATTTATATATATATATATATATATTTATGCATATAATTATTTGATTAAAATATTATAAACTTACTCTGATAAAGGCCAGCACGTTTCATCTAGGCAAGTTGTACTCCTAAAAAATTCAAATTAGTAAAATTTAATTAAATTTTACTTTTTACCTGATTATTTAAAAAAAAATGGTACTTAGGAATTCAATTCGTTTAAATTCCTATACTACGCTTATGAGTACAATGCTTCAATAATATTAATTATAATTATGGTGCTTTTGTTTTCCACTTACCTATAACTTTTATGAAACAATAACTTTCAAAATTTTAAACTTATGTAATTTGCACAAAATTGTTCTAAATATATTAGGTATACATACTGTATAGTAAATACTCTTTATTTTGACTTATTTTGAGCTGTTTACGGACATTTTCAGTTTCCAATTTGTTTAGGTTATTTTTCAATAAATATCAATAAAATTTTATTTGTTGGGTAAAACTTCTTGAAAATTTAATATCAGGCTCCATATCGTCGGCCTAATTCGCAAAGGTCGTATGTCCAAAATTACAAATTGTTCAGGAGAAGAAAAAACGTTTTACGGCCACATTATTATTTGGAGATATGACGATTTCTAATTATCAATTTCATGGAGGATAATATTATGAAATCGGAAATTTGGTTGTATCAACAGACGCAGTTTTTTTTCTTTATTTTATGAGTAAATAATCCCAAAATGACAAAAAATGGAGATACGACTTTTGCGAATTAGGCCGACGATATATATTGTTTCAAAGGCAGATAAAAAATATTAAAAATCCGTAGTCACAAATTTTTTTTTAAGCATTTAAACTTCAAATGTTGACAAAATACGACGTAAAAACAACTGCCAATTATTTTGAGTTAAAAATTCATAAAAATTTTTCTTACGGTACAGCACTAGGTGCATTTTTTTTTTATAGTGGTATCCCCAGTAGGCCTAATTCACTCTACGCCGGCTTGGCGCTTTCTTCGCCCGGTGTTCACCGGAACCGCTTGATCACCCTGTTGATGGTCTTGTCGGCGTCGTATTTCAAAAAGTAATGGACCTTGTTACTTTTCGCCGCATCGATGACTTCTTGTCTGCATACACTGTCCGTCGTATATTCTTCCCTCAACGCGTCGAACAGTATGTCGTCCCTGGCCTCGGATACTTCTCCGTTGAACCAGTCCCTTATTTTGACGAGGAAGGCTTCGGAAATTTTAGCCTTGGGAAACGCAGCGTACGTCTCGGATTCGGTAAGTTTTTCCCGTATCCCGCCCAGGCCGTTCACGTTGGAGTAGGGCTCGAGCGGGAACAACGTATCGAACCTGAAACACAAATCTCGTACAATACACCGTACGTACCGGTCAATTCGGGGGAGGGGGGGGGGTACTCACTCTTCAAACATCTTGTCCTGAAACAACGCCGTGTGGTCGATGAAGTCGATGTGTGCCTGTCTTCGGATGGCCTCGTTCGCGTCCGGCACCTGGTAGCATCGCAGCGCGGTGGCCGGGTCGTGCTGCAGGGCTTTCGCTACCCCGCTGCAAGTCGCGCTGTCGTGCCCCCTGGACTCGCTCTCAACCATTCTCCGGAAGACGCACGCCGAAAGCTGGCTCTTTGTTTTCTGCAGCTTGTATATTTTGTTTATGTCGTCGTAAATCTTTATGATTCGTCCGCACGTGTTGGTTATGAAAAATTGCTTCATGTTTGTTCGCACACGGCACCGGATACGATAGTATCTGCGAACACGGACACGGTCAGGTCAGGTCGGGTCGGGGTTACAACTATTACAACTCACCTCTCCATCAGGGCGGCCAGATCGGCGCCGAGCACGATGAGCGACGGCTCCTTGTCGCCCGTCTTGTGTTTCGCGACGGTCACCATGGTCTTGTCGCCTTCGGTCTTCTTCGCCAGCCACTCGCTGACGAGCATGTTGGTGGCGACCCCGCTGCGGTGTTTTGAGAACCATAGGACCAAACGTGGCTCACCATTTTCTGCATCAGTCTGTATGACCTTTCTGACCTTTATTTTATCATCAGATGAATCAAAGTTCAGTCCACTACTCAATAATATTTCATCAAATATAAGTGAGCAACACCTAAAAACCAAATCAACAATGTATACATTTAAAAGTTATTGATGCTACCTGAAAAACTTACCGTTCTGATGGTTTAAGTTTTTTAACATTTTCTGTTAAACCTTGCAATACCACAGGTGAAACTCCCGGACCAATAGATACCGTACTCAGTAAATTATTCAAGGTCCGTTTACATTTAAGCGTAATAAGATTTGATAAAAGTCTGTAGCATTTTGGTTTTCTTTTATAAATTGAAAGACTCAGCATTTTTTCTTCCAATGTGAATCTATGACCTTTTTCCTTTTCCATAGTTTCTCGAAAATGTAATTTGGTAAAAAGCGATGCTGCAGCCGTTACTTTCCCATTCAATTTATTGATCATGTACGAATCAGCAAATTGTTCTGCTCTCTTCAATCTATTTTTGAAAAGTTCTTTCTTAACGTCTCACTGACGTTGTTTCCTTATTAGTTGGTTGGTTATTGAATAGAACTTTTTACATCTAGGAGTAAGATGCCTGATATTCCGCACAACAATGTTTACTAATAATTCTATAAATGTACAATGGACATTAGATAAAATGATTATGTTACTATTGAAGATTGGAACTGATTCAACAAGTTAGTTTATTTGAAAGCATTAAATAAAGTAATATTTGATGGATAAATTCCAACATATAATTTATTTAAAAAATTTATTAACCCATTTTATTATTTTTCTTTGCAATTAGCCGTGAACAAGTTTTGGTTCTAACATGGTTACTAATATCTACATAAAAGCAAAAATCAAAATTGTACATGCAATGTTATGTATTTAGTGAAATAGCATACTACAGAAAAAACTACATAAAAATATAGACTTACTAATTAAATTTGGATCAGCTTGTGAAGTATCCAATTCAATAATACCAGACATCGCTGAAGTATTCAAATCAATTAGTTCATCACTATTGCTTTGTACACTTTCCACAACTAAAATATAAAAATTAATACAATTTTGCATAGGAAAATATAATGCATTACGAGTATACTTACTAATGGAATTAGAATCAGCTTGTACAGAATCCACTTCAATAATACCAGACATTACTGAAGTATTATTACAGAATTCATCTCTATTTAATTGTATTGGTAAAAACAGGGATGGAAACGCTTTAGCATTAAGTCGTTTAGTGCCAGAACTTAAACAATAGCTTGTGAAATGTAGAGAAAAAACATATTTTTTTGTATAAACAACACAAGGATCTTCATTTTCTAATCCAAGCATTTTCAGCCAAGTTTTAAGTCTTTCCATGTCTGTACGTGGATTAGGAAAACGATGGCATATCACATCTACAATAAAGAGTTAAAATAAAACTCTAATTTAATATACCTACCAGATTTGGAAAATTATAAAAACTATGAAAGTACCGTCCCATTATATTCATATCATATTATACCATAGCTTATTATAAGACAATCCTTAAAATATTAGGTATAATAAAATTCAAAAATAAGTACCTTTAATAACATTATTATAGTTTGTACATAAATCCAGAAATTACATACCTTTCGATTTACAGCCACCCACAATACATCTAAAGGCATTCTTCAAATGAAATATTGGTGCTAGTGTAGCGTGCGATCTACCAGCTCGTTTCTGGTGTAGAGTGCGATCTACCAGCTAGTTTCTGGTGTAGCGTGCGATCTACCAGCTTGTTTTTGGAAATATAAAATATAAAAATCATCCACATAATATAAGTTTCGTTTTAGACAATTTAGTCGTCGTTAATTATGTATGTCGCCCGCATATCTTATAAAAATGCAATGAACAAATCTGGTTGACTTTTCCGCCACATCTTCCAGCAATACTGATCCAAATGTGACTGAAGCATATGGATAGGTACGCCTCTCTTTTTCTTCAGTATGGATATTTTTGCATCCAACCATGATCTTTCAACACCCTGTGTGTGCGCACCTGTTAAGGGGTCAACATAATTTTCTTGATGATTAACAGTTTCATGAATGAACCCTTCTGATGTTAAACATCGGTATGAGGGCTACTCATCTGAGTGAATGACGGAACCACCTTCACATTCCCTTTTAATAATAGGTAAAAGAGTATCCTTGTCACGGCGTTCTACGTAAAAATACCTACTGTCATTTCCATGCTTGAGACCGAAAACCCACGGTCCATCAATCCTGGCACCATGGTTGCGGTTGTTTTGGACCTGTGCCCCCTCATCCGTATTTGCTGGTGGCTTATCTCCACCTAACATGCGACCACGGTTATATTTTCGACGACCGGCGAAGCGGGCTTCGTCTATTTGAATGGGGTTTGCGTGTGTGCCAAGCATTTTTGTTTTTTTTTTTAATTACAGCAGTGCACACTTCACGACACAAGTTATACCAATCGGTGATCGTTTTGTCGGATCTTCCAGTAAGTTCAGCCGCCTGAATGAGAGGTATTTCGATGACAAACATAAACACTATTTCCATAATCTCGCTAAGTGTTAGATTACATGTAACTCTGCTATTGAGGTCCGTAAAGTAAAAAAAGGCATTTCCTTGGCGAACTAAATGAGAAGTTTGGCAACCTTTTTTTGGGCACCTGAATATAGGCACAAATTCACCATTACGGTTCCTCCGTCGTTTTTCACACATTTCTGTGCCACACTTATGGCTAGGGTCAATATTATTCACATCTTTTAAAAGTTGGTGTTCTCGTAAGAATGTAGTGCATTCTTGCTCTGAACTTGCAACACGAATATAAAAATCTTTGAGAAGCATGACGGAACTATCTAACAAAAAAAAAAAAATGACTGAAATAGACGAAAGATAGACAAGGACTACGTGCGTCGTCGAAATCGGAAAGCACACTAAACTATTATCGACGAAATATAACGTTAACATCGTTAATGATAAATTACCGATAAAGAATTGAATAGTAGGTTTTGGCAAAAACGATAAAGCGATCAATATTATCTTTATCGTATTATACAAAAATATAACATCCCAATTTCCTATACGTGTTGGACATTTCGTTCATTATTATTCGGTTATCGCTATGTATATCTATACCGCATCTGCCAGGTGCATAAATATATATCACATGTAGACCACACGTAAGCGGTAGATCGCACGCTACACTGGCACCGAAATATTTAATAATATTTAAGAAGTAAAATTAACAACAGAACGTAAATGTAAATGTATAAAACAGAACTCATGAAAAACACGTTAAGTTAGCAAATTTTGAACAAGTCGAAATCAGGAATCACATAGTTCAATAGTTGATAACAATGTAGTACTGTAAGCGCTAACGGTGGTTGCGTTGTGTAAACCATATTGTTCAAATCCCCACTATAGAGTTGCCCTAGCCTGATTTAAAGATAACCAATGGCAAAACAATATTGAAATACTTCATAAGTTTTACTTTGAACAATACATTCCATAAATTATATCAAATAAAATAATATAGCTTTATTCAAAATATTTTTAACAAATAATTGTACATATTAAATATTGCCTTCAGTTAATGCTTTCAATTATTAAAAAATAAACATACATGAAAATAAAATATAAAATCAGTATTCACTATTCAGTAATAATGCCAATTGTTGTTCCATTAGTCATTACTCATTACATTTACATATAATGGAATAAGGAGCATAAGGGATAACCATATATAGTGATATACCTACCTATTATATTCAATACACCCATTCATGTTTAATACATGTATCATACTAACAACTGTATTTTTTCTTGTTTATCTGTACCTATTGGCTATTTTTTAATAGATTTTAAATGCAAATACCAAACCAACTATTATTATCAATTGTAATGATTTTTTCCTATTTTCATAATTTGTTCATTCCTATACACACTTATGTATTATGTATTATAATATTATAAATACCCAATATAGCAGGACGATTAACTGCATATATATAAATATTATATTTAATACATTTTAAAGAAACATTATATCTAAACAAAATAAAATCAACAATCAACTTCATCATAGGTATATATTTTTCAAAATTGTATTTTCCTCTGCAGCCCGTCGCTTTAATATGTTGCAAAAATTATTTATGTGGTGGTCGACGCCCCGACGAAGTGGCCAATTATCCGACAGAGTTTCTCAACACTCTGGAGCCGGACGGACTGCCGCCGTATAACTTGACGCTAAAGGTTGGTTCTATTGTCATGTTGCTTAGGAACCTAGATTCTAAGAGACGCCTTTGCAATGGTACACGGTTGGTTGTTACTGAACTGCGACGATAAAACTTCAAAGCGAGGATGTTGTCTGATGGTGCACAGTAAGATATAGTCATACCTGCTGTACCGCTCACGTCGAGTGGCGAAGACGACCTGCCCATTATAATACGACGAGTGCAATTTCCAGTACGTTTGTCGTTTGATATGACCATTAACAAGTGACAGGGACAAGTAATAGAGTTGACAAGAAACTTGGCTGATATTTGCATTGGTATACAATTTTTCTTCTTTTAAAAGTGTTGTTTAGTTTATATTTATAGTATATTATAAATAATAACTTATTTTTTATGTATTTTAGACAAAAATGTTTTTGTTGACACCCTTAAAGTTATTAAGCGGCATCATATAGAACGTTTACTGAATGGATGTGATCTGGGAACAGAAATTCAATTTGAACACAAATTAGAAGAATGGCGACAATCAATTGGAGTTTTATTAGACTCGGTACAGCAAAATTCCAATAGTCGTCCATCATCATCTTCTACTATTTCTCCTACTGATGGACTTGGTAATCTAACCTCAATGAGATATATGCCATATGAAAGATCCCCTACTCCCGACAATATCACAATTATGTTAAGTCACATCCTTAATGATACGTCAAGAGGAAAAGGACTTGTCAACTACTACAACAAGTTTTCCCAATTTCATGAAGATCAAAGATCTATACTAATATCTTTGATCGCCCAGCATTACGAAGAAAAGGGAGTCAAGATGTCTCTGACGACCAGCTACCTGTTGGAAAAACAAATTTTGGAAAGATTTCCCTCTGAGAAATTGGTAAAATATATTTGAACTTGGCCTCTAGAATTAATATTTAATACTGGCATTTTATTTTTTAGGAATATTATAGAACTGCAAAAAGAGGAAGACTTTACAATAAGTTTTACAACTTGTCAATGTCATTCAAAGTGGTTTCAAGACCTCTTGAAAATGAGTCTAGAGAAAAAAGTTCTTCTGGTAACTCAGAAAAATTCTCCAGACATGTTCAAAATTTAGGTTAGTTATCTAATTTGGTTTATTATAATGACAGTAGTTAAAAATATGTAATATTTATTTTTAGAGCCAGAAACTGAAGCAGATAGCTGTATTAAAGCATTAAAATTTGACAACTTAAGTGCAGATGAATTTGACTGCACTTGGAAAGCATGTTGTCAATATTGTCTTCAGTTCATTAAAGCTAACGACTTCAATACAATTCTAGAAAAATGGCCATTTTATAAAACCCCTAGTGGTTATCGACTGGTACATTTTATACATGATTATTCTATATTTGTAAAAATTGTTTTTTTTTAATACATTTGTCATTTTATAGATTGACATGGATTTCAAGGCAGCATTTACTAAATCAGATGGCACTCTTCTTGATAGATGGGAAGGGTCCTATAAAGCCATAGCATAATTCCTTTCTATAGAAAATCATCTAAAAGACAAGAATGCAAAATAAATGATTAATACATTAACAAACAACATTGGATTATCTGAAAGTAAGCTAAAATTATATTTTCCTTAATATTGTTAAAACATTTTTTTACTAAGTTTTACTCATAATAAATTATTATTTTTGTAGATAGACGAGATGCCGCTCTTATTTGGGCCCTCCATGCTTATTTTGTGCCAACTAATAGAATTGTTCGGATTGACCCAGTGACTGGCAAAAAAGTATTGTCAATTTACAATCAAAGAATCTCAGGAATCTGAACTTTATATGGGTGAAACACAACAAGCAGTTGAAGATTATATTGAACATATTAAAAAAAACAAAAGTTTCAATTCAGCCTTCAGTTTTCTGTGTAGGAAAAGGTATTTTTTCAATAATAGACATCTTTCTATGCATAGAAGGAGTTCGCTTCAATTTTAAAAGTGTTTTAAAAGCATTGGACATATGTTTTAAATGTATATAATTATTTGATTTTAAGTTTCCCAAGGAATCTATTATGTTTTATTCATTTATAGAATGTTCTTTTTACCGTTTTATTTTAACAAAAAGTTTTTCTAAGATACATATTATGTTACAATACTTAGAAAACAATATTATTCATTAATAATACCAGCAGGTACATTATACATTTTATAAAATCATTATAAATTACTCATAATATTATATTTTTTTTTTTTAATTTTAATTGTACAGTCCCTAATCATAATTAATTAAAATGTCCATAATAAGACTATACTTTTAATATTAATACATTTGTTTTTTTCCTATTTATTTTTACATAGTTTTATTTGTACAGTTTTAATTTAAACAAAGTTTTGCTAGGGTACATAATATTATATGTTACAATATCTATAAAATAATATTATTTATGTTATATCAAGTATGTTATACATTGTATAAAGTCATTATTATTATTATTAATATATAACATTATAATTTTTTTTTTTTTAAATTTAAATGTATAGTTATAATAATTAATTAAAATGTCTGTAAGATTACACTTTTAATATATTTTATACATTTGTTTTTTAGATGTGTATTATTTATTTATAGTTTTATTCTATCAGTCAACAAAATAAATTCAAATTGTAAAAATTACCATACAAGATCATTCTATCTACTATATACCAATATTGCTCAAGTTAATTTGGTTTGTGAGAAACAAGTTTTTTGAATACATTTACAGTTAGGCAATATAAGTTATATTGTAGTAACATTTGACTATGTTTTTAATTATTTTTAAGATAGATTAAAATTTCACATTTCACAATTTCTTTAAAATGGAATATATCTTTGGATATAATTTCATTATAGTAATATTACATTAAATTCTGGTTAATTAATGTTGGTTAGTTTTAGAATTACCTATATAAATGTTGTATTTGACATGTAACAATAAATTATTTTCTATTATGTATAGTAAAATACATAAATTGAACTGATAATTCTAATCCATTTCTACAATAAAATTAATTAATTCAAATAAATAAGAATGGTTCATTGATTTATCTAATCTATACTTTGAATTGATAATCCGTAAACATTAAGTAAATAAAATAGGTTCATCGATATTATAATTGAATATATATTATATATCATTGAATTAATTATTGATATGCATTGAACATATAATAAATATTAATTATTCAAATAATCAATGTTTTATAATTAACAATGGGTATACATTGAATAAACAACATGTATTTATTGTGATAAAAGGTTTACATTATTGCATCTAACATCATACGTTACACCAATAATTTTAAATTGTATGAATTATAAAATAAGTTATTGATACAATTAAGTAAAATTCATTAACTTAATGTAGATGTGTACATTAAATATGCAAATGACAAACACTCATTCATTCAGTCAATAAATGGCTTTATCGGAGACATTTTAATGTCAACTTATTATTAATTCAACAAACTTTTTTTTTATTCTTATGTGACTATTTTTTACAGTGCAAGATGTTGGAATATACGCTTTAAGAACTTTTTGTATGCATTTGGTTAACAATGTACCGAAGCGGATGCATGTTTATTCAATGCTTATAACAGTAAAATTATTCTGGCAATATTTGTAGACGATGGTTTAATCGCTGCAGACAATGAAGAAATAATAGATAAACTTTTAACAAACTTGGAGAAAGAATTTGAGGTAAAAAAAGGAAACTTAGATTATTTCCTAGGTATGCAGGTAAATATAATGAAAAATGGTTCTTTATTTGTGCATCAGACCAATTATGCAAGTAGCATAATTAATAAATTTAATATGCTGGACGCAAAGGAACTTTCAATTCCGATAGACAAATCACATACACTTGAACAAAAGGAAGATCCGAAGATACGGAAATATTGAATGAAGCTATTCCTTATAGGCAGGCAGTAGGTAGCTTACTGTTCTTATATCTTATCACAGGTAACAAGACCAGATATAGCATATGCAGTAAACTTTGCTAGTCGTTACTTAGCGAAACCAACTAAAGCAAATTGGAACTTGGTAAAACGGATTATACGATATATCAAGCGAACATTTAATTATGGCTTGTATTTTAATAACAAAACAAAATTGTCATTAGAAATATTTAGCGATGCAGATTACGCAGGTGACATTCAGACACGACGTTCGACGTCAGGATTTCTATTCAGGTACGGGTCAAGCATAATTTCATGGACATCGCAGAGACAACATTGTGTGTCATTGTCATCGACAGAGGCTGAATATATTTCGGCCAGTGAAGCTGTCAAAGGGATCTTGTGGATTACACGGTTGATAACAAACTTCTCATCCGGAGTTTCATAAGCGGACAAAACACATAGACGTACGGTACCACTTCATACGGGAGAAATACGAAGAAGGACAATTCCAACTACAGTACATTGGAACAGAGGACCAGATTGCGGACATTCTAACCAAGCCTTTGGTTAAGGAACGATTCGAAAAGTTGTGGTCAGCCATAGGAGTGACTTCAATTAAAGAGATTATTAATTGAGGGAGGGTGTTGAAATATACAATTAATATGTAGTATATGTAGTCAGCCTTGACACGTGTGTACAATATAGTAACTAGTTATGTACGAGCATAAGACTCACTCTCTTTACGGATGTAACATGACCTCGGTCGTGCATATATATAGGGCCTTTGATGTATGTAATACTCACTTGCACAGGCGTCGTTGTACAGAGCGTATACGATGTGTGTGTACTGTCACAGTTTAATTGTCCAGTTGTACGTTATTATATATTATACTTATACATAATCATATTGTCGTGTTATTACTTATTATATTAATGATAACATCATTAGTCCGTCAAACTTCACTCTCAACAAATTAAATAACAAACAATCAAAATAAATCATCAAAAATTAACAATAGATAATTAATAACAATCGTTACTAATTATTTACAATCAACCCGATTACTTCAATATTTCAATCCAATTTAATTATTTAATAATTTATTTAAAGTAAATTAATTAATAATAAAAATTTGACTTAACTTGCCTAACTTAGATTTTATTTAATTTAATTAATCAATACGATTTAAAGTATACTGTTAAAATATACTGTTTAAATATACTGTTTTAGACAAATTAATTTTTATATAAAGTATATACCTACAATAATTTCATTGTATATAATATGCACTTACTGTCATTAGTCATTATCATTTGCTTGTGTTCTTTAGGGTGGTCTAAAAAACCAATGATCATAAATGTTTAAATCCTACCACCTGAAGTTATTCTCTATAGTCTAAAAATAATTTATCTATAAATATTAATATAATATAACTATTTTTGAGTCATCCCAAGCAACTGAAAGTTTGTTTCATGTTACGGTATATTATACAATACCAGCGTAATGTTTTGTAATTATCTTATTTTATGATATTTTATCTTATCTTATTTCTCGGATATGGTCATGTCAAGACACGGAAGAAAATCATTCGAATGACAATAGTTTCGATGATGATTTCAAAGTTAAGGGAAAAAAATTTAAAAAAAGTCATTGCAAGCAAAACGAAATTGAAACCTTTAATAACTCGAGAATTATCAGCTGTGTTGGATAGAACTAAAGTCAGTGATCGGCAAGCAACTTTTATCAATGGAGCTATAGTAAAAAGTTTAGTTTAATTCTTTTGCGTGTAGCCGTAGTACGATTAAAGTACATCGTGAAAAAATGAGGCAAGATATGGCTAGTTTTATAAAAGAATCGTTTACACCAAACAGCAAATTAACTGTTCACTGGGATGGAAAAATGATGTCTGATCTCACATCCAGAGAGCATGTAGACTGCCTCCCAATATTGGTTTCAGGAGGAGAACAAGAAAAATTAATAAGTATAAAAAAATTATCATCGTCGACTGGAGAGGTGAAGGCTAAAGCCGTTTTTGATTGCTTGAGTGATCAAGAATGGAATTTAAGCCAAAATATTGTTGCCATGTGTTTTGACACGACGTCCTCGAACACCGGGAAAAACAAAGGTTCTTGTGTAATATTTGAACGTAAACTTGGAAAAAATTTATTTTGGCTAGCATGTAGACATCACATATTTGAGTTGGTTATTGGAGCAGCATTTCAAGCAGTCTTGCCTTCAGCTACAACAGGGCCTGATAACCGTATTTTTGTACGTTTTCAGTCTTATTGGTCAGAAATTGTTCAGTCAACATACATATATCACAGCCAACCCAACTATTATTCTCAGAATTACAGATAAAATACGAAAAGATATAGTCAGTTTTTCTCAAGAAATGCTTCAAATCAAACAAGTAAGAGACGATTATCGAGAGCTGTTTGAATTATCAATTATATTCCTTGGTATATGTGCTCCGAACAATGATTTACAGCTGATGAAGACCTTAATAAACTATGGTAATCCAGATATTTCAAATGCCACAGTAAAAAAAATGATGGGACATTTGTGGTATCTGTCAGATGAGTTAGTTGGTCTTTGTTTGTTTGACCAAAATGTCTCAGTAGAAACCAAGTGTAAGGTCGTCCACGCAATGATTAATAACCCTTTCCAAGAAGTTCGGGATGTACTGCCAAAAATTAAAAAACATGATTTGGAAAAATTGCGGCTTCATGATTTATCAAATCAAAATACAATGAGAGTTTTCATAGAATTTGGTGTTGAAAAATTTTTTGAATCTGACATGGTTAATTGGAACGATTCTAAAAGTTTCTGAGAAGCAAAGAAAGTTTTTAAAAACCTTCGAGTGACAAATGGCGTTTCAGAAAGAGGAGTTGCATTGATCCAAGACCTTAATCGCAAAATCACCCATAATGAGGACCATCAGTAGTGTTTCTAAAATATAGCTTATGTATGTCTAAATTACTGTTAGAAAAATTTAAAAAAAATAATATACATATTATTCTATGAATTATACTACAAAATAAATCATGTATAAAGCATGTTAATACTCACTCTTGGGTATCATTGTTGCGAGGTATTATATCTTTTTTTAAATAATTGTGCAGTTTAGGCATTTTAACCAATACTTTAGCAGTTTCAGTAGCATTTTCTTTCTTTTTTTGCCGATAAAAAGCACCACTATGTTTCTTATTAACCATTTTACTACAGCAGAAGTAAGGCAAATTCACAAAACAAAAGCAATAAGCAAATAAGCTGGTAAGGTAAGCATATAATTGTACAAAAGTACAGATTAAACAGGAAGAAATAATAAGTTAACCAAAATTGTTAGGTAATTAGCACTGTTGAGATCTTAACTTGAGTTATGTATAGTACTATATATTACAATACTACAATTTATGGTCAAAAAGTGCATTCTCCAATATAAATACACTTAGAGCAAGTAAATTCAAAAATTTAATGCTAATATTATAAAGAATAAATTAAATACAAACCTTAAATTTCCTTTTCACTCGAATAAGGAATAATAATATTTATTAGTACAGACAGTACAGTATTCCAACTGTGTTTTACAAATTGAGAATTGTAGTGTCACATTTACTGATTAACACACAAACTGTAGTATGCAGGGGCGGATAGGCCTATCGGGAAATCGGGAATCTTCCCGATGGGCCGGTTCTTGTGAGGGCCTGCAGGGCCGCTATAATTATTACAATATAATTATAAAAAAATTAAATTTTTATAAATTAAGCATAAAATATATTAAAAATCAAATACCTACGAAGGTATTATTTTTAATATCTTAAACTATTGCAATTCATAGTAGGAATTTTGGTATTTACACTATTATCCCTCCAATTCATGCTAATGTATTATTTAGAAATCTGTGGTATTGGTATTTTAGTATTTATGTATATTTTATACTCTATGGTAGAATTTAATTACGTGATAACATTGATAACCTTATCTTATCATTATTTGTATTCTTTTTTTGATTTTGAACTTTTTACACAAACGAGTTACTGTACTTACAGAAGTGTGTTTAGTGTACAAATTCAATTGAACTGTGCAATTTAAATTGTGTGTGATGCTGGTGAAAAACGAAAGAAGGGTGGAGCTGAAAAGGTACGAGAAAAAAATAAAAACGGTTAATGGAACCTATATACCTGGAAAATTGTTTTAAATTTTCAATCCTTGTAGCTATACATGTTGAACATTTTATAAATTTTTAACAACAAAATAATTATTAAATTTTGATAAATCTTGTCAAAATTCGAGCTTTAATTGCTTATAAAAAAAATGTATGGCTATGTATATTTAATATTTTTCAACTGATATTGTAACAATATATCAGGAGCCTTGTATTCAATTTTCAGGCTTTTTGGCCCAACAAATACAATTTTATTGGTATTTATAGAAAAAAAAATAAAATTTGAAATGGTTAGTTAAGACATCAAAAAGAGATAATTATTTTCAAAATTGTATGGTGTATACAAAATGCTAATATAAATATTCAGTGAAATTTTCAAGTATCTACATTTTACAGTCATTCGTTTTTTAATCACAACAAAATAAGAAAATCATTACATGAGAAATCGAGTGAATATCAAATGTTGTAAAAATTTGAATTTCAGAAGGTCATAAAAATGTAATTTGACTTTCTTGTTAACATTTTTTTTTTGATAAAGGTAGACAAACCTAAGAGGAATTTTGTATTAAAAATGTGTTTTAAAAACACAAAAATTAAAATTAAATTAAAAATTAAATTAAATTGTAAATTTGTTTACGAATTTATAACTCAAAATAATTTGCAAACTTAATTTCGTAATTTTTACGTATTTTGTTAATATTTGAACTTTAAATGCTTATAGAAAAAAATTGTGACTGGATTTTTAATTTTTTTTCATCTGCCTCTGAAACAATATACTAGGAGCTTTTTAACCAACAAATAAAATTTTATTGATATTTTTAGAAAAAAAGACTGAAAATGTCCGTAAACAGCTCAAAGTAAGTCAAAATGTTATGTTGTATAGAAAATACTAATATAAACATTCGGTCAAAATTTCGTGTACCTATATAGTCATATTTATTTTGGAGTTGCTTCAAAAACCAAAATCGATTTTCTCGAAAACAGATTTTGCGTAAAAATTCACCGATGTACTTAATTTTTCTTTTGTTTTTCACTGCACTTTAGAAAACCACCAGGACATTTTTATTTTTGACCCCCCCAAAGTACCAACTAGATTAACTTTCCTATCAGAAAAGTGAATCTAGTTGAAGAAAATCTAAGTATTTACTATTTTTACTGTCCTAAAATTTGATGACAGAAGCAAAAATAAAAAATTAAATTAAAAAAAACACATCATTGTAAAATCAATACATTCATCACTTTGCTCAGAATCTAAAATGTAATAAGATCAAACTTCAAGTTCGAGTTAGAACAGTCTGCAGAACAGGTTAACCTTATCTGACTAACCCTAAACTGTTATAACTTTAATTATAGGTACCTATTATATATTTTACTAATTTATGGGTGAAACTAAACAAATTTTGAAATGTGAGTAAAATGATGAAAATTTTTTTTGGTGGAGGGTTACATTTGCGGTGCAGGGCCGTTTTGATCCATATTTCCCGGGCCGAAAAAATTCACCAATCCGCCCCTGGTAGTATGTACTCTGTACGCCATAGAGTAATTAATAATTATTTTTAATGTAGCTCATCACAATATACAATATTAAAATTAATTACTTTTCTATGATATAGATTATAGACCCATAGAGGAATAGGCATATAAAATATAATGTTATTATGTATATGTCTATGTATAGACCACGATTGTTTTAGTGACATATCACATAATATATAATAATATAGAATAAAGAATTTATGATACAGGTTATCACTTATCAGTTATCACTAATATATTTTCTCAATGAGTCCTATAAAATAAAAAAAAATTATTTTTACTTTTTATAACTTCATTTTGAAGACAATTTAACTTCTACAACGGCGCCCCTATAAGGGAATCAGAATTGGCGCCTAAGGGTAATTGCTGCCTGTCGCTCCCCCCCCCCCCCAAGATACGCCAATGCTATAACGACCTTAATAATACAAACAGCTTTCCCCAATATTGCAGTCTTTTGTTGTAACTTATTACTGAGTATATTAACAATGCACAATACTTCATGAAAAATAAATAAATTAACTACAAAAGACCCTTTGGTTATAGAAGAATAAATACCTGAAATTTAAAAATAGGTAAATTAAAATTTTGTGATCAGAATAAATATTTAATATCATGCAATTGTTTGGTTATTACATTAGGTTAATACTAATTAAATTAATGAGATAGAGCCACTTATATTATTAATTACCAATTGCTTGGCTAACATTTCTATCCGAGTTTTCTTCAATTTCTCCATGTAATATTTGTAAAATAGCAGCAAAATTTGTAATGACTGCATCGCAGTTTTTATATCTACATACCTACCCAAAGTGTATCTGACATATGGATCATAGTTTTATTTTTCATGCCTAACTCTTTTTGAACTTCTTGCAACTTCTGATTCTTTGAAGGAAATGCAAAATGAACGAAATAGATTGTAATACGTAACATACATTTCTTGCGTCCTAATTATATTTATAAAATAATAATTGTTAATTTTAAAAATCATTGCTTTTTAATGACACAATAAAATTAAATAGGTACCTACTTTGATATTTTTACACATGTCTACAACAACTAAGTTTAATTTATGTGTATAAATTGCTGTAGGAAATTTATTTTTAATTTTTGCTTGCACTCCCCCCAAATTACCAGACATGACACTAGCTCCGTCATGTGATTGGGCAATAACATGGGAATCTCCAATTTTAAATTGTTATATTATATATTGTTATACATAAAAAATTCAAAATCATTGTAGCAAGAAAGTCTGCGTTATGACTTTTAGAAACTTCTAAAAATCCCAAAAACCGTTCGTGTATATCGAGATCTTTAGCATACCTTAAACACACAGACATTTGCTCACCTTAAAAACTTATAAATAAGATAACAAACTATATTAATTTAGCACTTTATATTTTTACAATTAAATACTTGTATTTGGTATTTATGAGTTGTATATAATATATTTTATCTAACTACCTAGCTTCATCAGTCATCATACATTAAAGCGAAAAATCCATTTGTCTGTACTTCTAACATTATTTTGTCTCTAACCATTTGAGCACAAATACTTAAAATTTGGTTTTAAATTGACCAACTGGAATAATTAGTTTTTTCATAATCAAATTTTTTTAGTAAATGACAAGCCTCTTTGAAATTTCCTGTAAAAATGTCATATTTGTTATGAGTTTTTCAAATAAATATTTGTTTATTTTAAGCACTTGGTAGGTACCTTGGTTCAGAGAGTTTTTATCTTTAAAGTGGCCCCAAAGTGGGATTCCTTGGCGGCTCAAATATAACAAAATTTCAATTAGTTTTGTTAAGTATTCTCGATGTTCATTTACTTCTTTTGGATGTCCTTCTGATAACTTAGAGACTACACTACCATTTGATTTACTTGACAAATAAGCAGTATACTTTGTCTTGTTAATTAAGTGTTGTTTTGAAGAAGAATGTGAGTTACACTTCTCTCTAATCTAACCTCTTCATGCATACCATAACATTTTATAGCGGGAAAATAATTTAGATTACATTATTATTTACAACCAATTGGATCAACCGATTTATAGTTTTTATTCCATGAAATATTTCATGTCTCTCATGGGCATCGGGCAGTTGGGTCCCCGAGATAACAGCCGTTATCATCA